ACCTTTCCCCTACAACTTGTCTGGTTTCTGGGCCACCAGACCTGACAGCCTGACGACAGGTACTGGCATTACAGTGGCTATGACCTAAAGGCTAAGGTCCACCGGACCAGCCTTGAGAAGCAACGACGAGTAGTAGTATGCAAACATATTTGTTCATCTCACAATAAAAATGAGTGTAATTTCTTTTAGCGCCTATATGACATAATTTTCCATAACAATAATACAGGGTGTTTCAGTTTATTGTTGCATAACTTTAAGATTCGATAGAACCTTTAAAATTAATGCATAAAGTCTATATAAACATGGGACGAAAAATGCGTGGCTTCCGAAATACAGGGTGTTTAAATTCACATTCTAAAATAGTTTTTTTTAAATATTTCGAACAATATTGGATGTATAACAGTGAAAATTGGTACACAAGGGTTTTTTTGGTACGACAAAACGAACCATGGGCATAGTTTTACTGTAGCCGCTAGAGGGCGCTCTCTACTATACCTGTAGTGTATTAAAATGACCGAAAATTTTTTCTTAGTGCAATTTTTTACTTTTTGAACAAAAAAACTGATTCTTCGCACTTTGCTGCATAAAAAAGCTCTCCTGTGAGTTTTCGTTATAGTTAGCCGTGTTTGAGATATTTCGATTTTTAAGGTTCGATGCATTTTTAATTATTTATGGGAAAATAACATTTTTTTTACATTTTCGATTTGGGCATTACAAGTAATTAAGATGATCGTTTAGAAACAGAATATTAATTTGTTTAATTTTCCAATATTATTTTTAACAAATTAAATTAATTATTTACAACTAAAATGCTATTGGATAGTAAGGACAAACATACAAAATCTAAAGTAGTTGCTCTAAATGTAAACCCGATTGTTCAATACACAATTCAGATCTACGAATGATCGAACGTGGTATAGTAAATAAGGCCTTATTTCATCACATGCATTTCTGATTCTGTCTATTAGCATATCTCTTGTGGTTACGGGAGTTTGGTACACTTTTTCTTTTAGAAATCCCCACACAAAGAAATCTAATCGATTTAGGTCAGGGGATCGTGGAGGCCAGGCGACTGGTCCTCCACGGCCGATCCATCTTTCTGGATAATGTTCGTCCAGCCAGTTTCTAACTATTCTCGAATAATGAGCTGGACAACCATCAAGCTGGAACCAGACCAAACTTCTTAAATCTAACATAATATCATCCCACATATTTGCATGTTCAGCCTTTAAAAATTCCAAGAAGGTCGCAGCATTTAACCTTGTAGGAAAAGGTAGGGTTCAAATAGTCGATTACGGTAGATATCAATCGACACGTTCACACTAAATTCATGCTGAAAACTTCTTTCGCGAACTGCATGCGGATTTTCATGCGACCAAATATGTTGATCATGAAAATTTACCACTCCACGTCTAGTGAAGCATGACTCATCGGTCCATAAAACGTTACTTAAAAACTGCCTATTATTATCAGGAATTCACTGACAAAATGTGATTCTTCCTTCGCCGTCCCCTGGCTGTAGTCCTTGCACAGGTTGCAAATGGTAAGGACGTCTATGGTCATTTCTAAGAACACGGTGAACATGGCTTGCTGAAATTCCCAAGGCACCAGAAACTGTCCTAACACTTGTGGTCGGATCTCTATCAGACTCACGCAGAATCATACGGGTAAATCTGCGCTGACGAACATTTATGTTTTGATCCCTTTGGAGATTTCCAAAACCATTTTCAATTACTTGGCGATGCACTCTTACAAATACTGACCGAGTTGGATGTCGTCTGTTTGGAAATCTTCGTGCGTATTCTCTGGCTGCTTCTGCTGCGTTTCCATTTACAAAGCCATACACAAAATGAATATCCGCTAACTCTTGATTGGAGAATAAAAATGGCATCTTTATAAAACTTACAAAAAAGAAAACAGGTAAAAGAAACTAAATTTCGTACATTCACAATTGCAAAAAAACGTTTCAGGTTTCAACAGACAACAAAACTAAGTGTCAACTAATTGACGTTTAACCTTATTCTGCTTTCAATTTCAAAAATATTTGCAGGCACAGCCTACTTCTAAAAATTATCGAGATACTGACTTTTTAACGTTATTTTATCATAAATAATTAAAAATGCATCGAACCTTAAAAATCGAAATATCTCAAAAACGGCTAACTATCACGAAAATTCAAAAGAGAGCTTTTTTATGTTGAAAAGTGCGAAGAATCAGTTTTTTTATTCAAAAAGCAAAACATTGCACTACGAAAAAATTTTTCGGTCATTTTAGTACACTACAGGTACAGTAGAGAGCGCCCTCTAGCGGCTACAGTAAAGCTATGCCCATGGTTCGTTTTGTCGTACCAAATAACCCTTGTATACCAATTTTCACTGTTATACATCAAATATTGTTCGGAATATTTAAAAAAAACTATTTTAGAAAGTAAATTTAAACACCCTGTATTTCGGAAGCCACGCATTTTCCGACCCATGTTTATATAGACTTTATGCATTGATTTTAAAGGTTCTATCGAATCTTAAAGTTATGCAACAATAAACTGAAACACCCTGTATAATAATTCATTTTTGTATTTCCTCCATCATTACCCGACTTCGATGTAACTGCCCAAGTAGTCGAACGCGTGTACCTCTATAGACTTGTGTTGTAGTAATGACTAAGTTCTTCTTTATCTGCTCATTCCATATATTTTGTCTTTTCTACATTAACGTACAGTCCTTTTCTTCGTGCTTTTCCTTCTAGTTCCTTACTTCTGGCTAGAATAACCAGGTAGCAAATGTTAGGCATTAATGCTTTCTGTAATATTCTGGATCAGCCCTGATTAAGATTGCTTCTAGCATAGTTTTCTCTAGCACAATGTTGAATTGCAGCAATGAGAGTGGATCTAACTCCTTCTTTAACTTCAGACATGTCGGTAAGTCTGATATTTGTCTTGACCATGCTTTCCGATTTTTCAGCGTAATCTAAATTTTAAATAATATATACTACCGTCAAAAAATTGAGATATCAATTTTTTTTTTACCAAACCAAAAATTTTCCAAAATAAGCAGGTATTTCTAAAAGGCCAAAACTCGAAGTTTGAGCAATTTTATTTTTTTATTCATCTTTCCTTTACCGTTACGGTACCGATTTTTGTTCTTGCGTGAAAGTTTGACAAAAATCCGAGCAGTATTTCAAGTAAGGTATAGTCGGACCAAGCCGAGAGACTATTTAGAAGTTTTTGACGACCACGCCGGTGGCGTTGTAATTAAGATGAGAGTTATGTTATCAGTGCTCCCTTACTAAATCCAATCATTACGTATCCTCCTAGTCGTGAAATTACCAGCAAGTCCTTACATTATAAACCATTTTCCTTAAAATTACAGAGGCATGACAAAGACGATGATGTAATATGAAGGGTCGTGTAAAGCGATTATTGACTTGATGCATGGAGACATCGGAGGCTGCATAAATAGATTTTCAGTAGCAATTATCTTTGCTTCATCTCAAACACTACACTTCATCGGCATAGAAAGCCGTTCATTGGCGGAGATACGTAACGGTTGAAGGAATATGTATAATTATGTACGTACTGTACACAATAGATATTCCTTGCTGAAAATAGACCAGAGGCTATTGATAAAGATAGAAGATGCTACGCAGTCGACACATCCATTCGATTCCCACTCGTTTTCAGATGCAGGCTGTCCTCAAAAGTGTGACTTGCCTCTTCAGAAGCTACTATGTTCGAAATAACAAAGTCAATAACATCATCGAGAACGTAAGAGGGGAAACGAAGAGTCATACTCACTACTTATTTGGTACGACGTTTCAAGTACTGCCTACATATTTTTTGTACTAATGCTTGATGTTTCTTTTTATATCGAAGCAGCCGCGCAGGCAGAAGGCTAAATTCCGGAACACCGCGGCTGCTATGAGGATACCAAAGAAATTTTGTTAATACGATTTTTGAAATGTTAGTAGAACTGGGAAAAGCTTCTTCGTGTACATTGTTCTATAATCTTGACACCCTCGGGACAAAGGAGCCGTTGTATCGGCCAGTTCTGGATGTAAGAAGTTCAACACGGTTAGGATGGGACACCAAAGTCAGGCGGATCTGTCTGTCAGGCACATCGCGCGGCGGCATCATGGAAGAGAGCTCTGAGGAGCAAAGCCCGTTGGTGTAGCCTTAGAAAACAGCTAGATCGCCGACAGCCGCCGCCGCCGGTGCGAAAGAGTCCCTAGACTGTCTGTTGGAGAAGAGTCATCGATCAGTCGGACCGCCCTCCTCTGGACAGCATCGACCATGGATAATGTAGTCGGGGCGGCAGCACCCCAAACATCTGATCAATACTCCGGGATAGGCCTTATCTGGGCCTTGTATAGAGTGAGAAGGTCATGCGAAGAAAAGTACCTCTTAGGCCTAAACAAATAGCCTAGCTTTCACCCAGCAGCTGCAGCTATTTACGAGATATGTTCGTGCCAGATCGGTGATCTGGACTCTGACCAGCCGAAATGAATGGCCCTTTGACAGAACTCAGCCATCCATCGAAATCGGATGAGCGCTAAGACGATTTTTATTCGTCAAAGTACAGTACTGTGTTTTGGAAGCATTGAACTGTACAAGACTGTTGCGTCCCCAAGCTGTGACAGCCTCCAGGTCTCTTGTCAGAGAGGAAGTCGTCGCTAGTCTTTTTTTCAGCTCAGCGGCAGAGATCGGCTTGTCACTCTGAATTCCTGCATGTAGAGTGCTGTCATCAGCGAAGCTGTGGATTGGGTTGGTCGTGCAGGAAAGCAAGTCGTTGAGTGATAAAAAGATGGCGTCAAGTGAGAAGCAGAGTGTTTACAACGGGATTAAAAATTGCAAAAGGTGCGGTTCTATTGCGAAGAGTGGTTTGCAGTGTGTAAATTGTAAAACCCTTATACACGCAGGATGCATAAAGTATATAAAAAATATACAAAAACTAGATGACAAAACAGTAATTTGCTGTGATGGTATAAATTTGATCGATGAAACAATGAAACCAAAACATGGAGAATTCGATGAAGACGAGGATACCTCCTTCTGCAGTGTGGACGATTTTATTGATGCTGAGGTGAGTGTTATCCTGAAGGAACTTATCAAGCACAAAAACTTCATAATTAAATCACAACAGCAAAGAATAAACAGTTTGCTCGCTCAAATATCGTCATTGTCTCAGTTACCTTCCACGACATCTATAAATGAAGCTAAAGAGTTGCCCAGTAAGTACCGTAGAGAGCTGGTACCACAATCTTATAGTCAAGCGACACTTCATCAGAAAGGGAAGAAATCTGCAGATAAACCAAGCAAAGTCTGCACAATCGTCAGGTGGTTCTACTTGCACTACGAGTAGAATAACAAGACACCAGGTGGCCGCTGCCGTAGAACACGCCAAATCTTCTGCGTCAACCTACGGTGCTGGAGCTACTGCTGCAGCGAGTGCTCCTCCCCCAACATCATCACTTATTCCATCTCAAACACGACCAAAGGTTCAGACGCAGGAAGGTGACGATGGTGGTAGCTCCCGTTCTTGGAAAGTCGCCAAAGGCAAGCGCAACCGACATAGGAATACATTGGTTGTCGGAAATGGGCCTGACAACTCAGCTGTAAAAGGAGTTGCTAAGAAAGTTGCACTGCACGTCAGTAGAATTCATCGCAGTACGAAACTCGACGAAATGGAGGATATGATTAAAACTAATTTCCCGGAGGCATCTGTGGAACAGGTTCAATCAAAACATCCTGAAGAATATTCATCTTTTAAAGTTACTATTCTTCAGTCTAATTTCAAGAAAGCTTTAGGTGTCAATATGTGGCCCATTATAAACTGTTTTTTCTACAAGAAAAAAGATATAACTCTAGTCACATAGAATTTTATCCTACACTTTTATTTTTGAATGTCCAGTGTCTTAATTTAGATAAGTTAAATGAGTTATGTATTTTTTTAAAAGATTTTAATAGTGTATGTTTTGTATGCCTAACGGAAACGTGGGCTGTGGATGATTCTATTGAAAAGTTTTTAATTGATAATTTCTATTTGTCCAGTTTTTATTGTCGAACAGGGTACAAGGACGGGGGAACAGCTATATTTTCTAAATCTGACGTTACTAGTACCATGATTGATGTTTCGGATTTCTCGACGGGAAAAGACATAGAGCTGTGTGCCACAAAATTCAAGAATGGTAATACCTACATTATCATGATAGTATGTTATCGGTCTCCCTCAGGTAATATAAAAACTTTCTGTGATAAGCTTAATGAAGTCTTAAGTTATGTATACAAACCTAGGCTTAAGTTAATTTTGTGTGGTGACTTCAACGTAGATTTTTATTCACCAAATTCTGAATTAGATAATCTAAAAAACGTACTGAACGCGTTCAACCTGTTTCCGATTATAGGGTGGCCAACGCGCATAGGTGGCACATCAGTCAAAACGATTGACCAAACATATGTAAATTTCTTGGACTTTGGGCAAAACTGTGTAGTCGACAATACCATCTCTGATCATCGAACAGTACTGTCAGAATTAAGTGTGATCAACCAAACTCATGGGTCACAAGTTTTTGTCGAAAAAAGATCATACAACGATAAAAATATCAACAACTTTATATCCGATATATGTTCTGAAAATTGGACCAGTTTATTCAACATGTATGACATTGAATTAGCTTTCGATACTTTTTCTCAAATTTTCAACCACCATTTTCAAGTTAATTTTCCGCTGCGTAAACACTTGGTTAAAACGGCCCCAAAGACTGGGTTAATAATGAAGAAAAGGAATCCAGCAAACAACTCAAGGATTCCTCTTTATTGTCAAAAATCATCCCAGATACTAAAGAGACATATCTTCATAAGAAAAAGAATCATCGAATTTTAGTAACTTCAGCAAAGCAACACTATTATCATAATAAAATATTCAAGTCTTCGAATCGTAATAGGGCTGTCTGGAAGGTAGTATCCGAGTTAACAGATAATAAAAATAGCCAAAGCAGTATAATTTTGGAGGATGCTGGTAACACATTAAGTAATACTCAGGATATAGTCAATAAATTCAATAACTATTTTAAAGATACTCCGTTAAATATTGTAAATAATATAAATCGGGCAAATATTGAAACCGTAGATTCGCGTCCCACTCATTGTCGGCAAATGCTTCTCTATCCATTTAACGATGAAGAGTTTTTCGACTTGATCTCTTCGAAATTGAAAAACAAACATTCCTCCGGACCAGATGGTATTCCGGGATTTCTTGTAAAAAAAGTACTAAAATATATAGTGAAACCATTTGTATTTCTAGTAAATCTCTCCTTTTGCACAGGAAGGTTTCCCCAATCCTTAAAAACTGGGAAGGTAATCCCAGTTCTTAAAAAAGGAGATCCTCCCAAAGATTTCCAATTACAGACCAATAACAGTTCCTTTCTGCTTCTCCCAAATCTTTGAGTACTGCTTTCTAGATAGATTGTTGCGATTCCTAGAATCTGAAAATACCTTGTCAATTAACCAACACGGTTTTCGCAACGGAAAATCGACACACACGGCCTTGCTGAGTGTCATTCAGAGTATTATAGCATCGATTGAGACAGGCGAATGTCCTGTTGGGATATTTTGTGATCTCAGCAGGGCATTTGACTGTGTCAATCCTGAGATACTTCTGGGCAGACTGGTTCAAGTCGGCATTGTTGGGACACCCTATAGCTGGATTAACTCCTTTCTATCCGATCGATCACAATATGTTTGTTTACATGAAAACAGCAACAACATTATCTCTGAGGTGAAATCTGATGTAACGTACGTAGACATCGGCGTACCTCAGGGATCGATTTTAGGGCCTGTTCTTTTCATTCTTTACATAAATGAATTTGAGCACTCTTTCTCCCAAGCCAATTTTACGCTTTACGCGGATGATGCGGCAATCATATTGTCCAGCAAATCCAAAAGTTTTAAAAGAAGACTGTGTACATTTATTAAACAGTGTTCATGATTGGTTTAGCGCACATCATCTTCACCTGAATGTGGAGAAGACGGCAATGATGAGATTTCACAACTTGCACAAACAAATGACTCCGCTTGATCTTCGAGTTAAACATAATCAACTAAGTGTTCTCAAAGAAACAAAATTTTTGGGCTTGTGGTTGGACGAATGTTTCAATTTCAAGGCCCAGTGTGATCGATTGGTATCCAGGTTGAACTCACAGCCATATGTGTATAAAGTTCTACGAGCCACATTGACTGGAGACCAGTTAGTAACACTCTATTATGCTCAGGTAGAGTCTAGGCTGAAATATGGTTTGTGCTTCTGGGGAGTATCGACGAATGCACAACATGTCTTTTTAAGTCAGAAAAGAATTCTAAGATCTATGGCCGGAGTAAGCTCATTACATAGCTGTAGGGAGCTGTTCCAAAAGTACCAAATTTTAACGTTGCCTTCTCTATTTGTATACGAACTTTCAATATATATGTTTCAAAATAAGGATACACAACTACTAAACAAGGATATAAATGCCTTCATAACAAGGCAGAGTGAAAATATGTATGTTCCTTTCGCCAAATACTGTGTCGGTAGTAGGTCACCTAGAGTTTTGGGGCCTAAAATATATAATAAACTGCCAGAAGAAATAAAAATCTGCAGTTCACTGCAACATTTTAAAAATAGGTTAAAGGCTTTTTAATTAAATAAATGTTTGTACGCTGTTTCAGAGTTTGTTAATGTGTAGATGGTATGTTTGTTTCTCATATTTGTTTGTTACTTATTTTCCATGTTTGTTATAGATTTTTTATTTTTGACGAATCCTATGCATACTTATGTCTATTGGATAATAAAGGATTATTATTATTATTATTATTATTATTATTATTATTATTATGTATGGGAAACAGAGTCGGAGCCAAGACCGATCCCTGATCGACGTTGTGGGATAAAGAGGAGAACCCGTCAATTACGACGGATATCTTGCGGCCAGAGATAAAGTCAGCCACCCATCTGCACTGAAGTTTTTTTGGGAGACCATAGGATGGAAGTTTGCTTAAGAGTGTAGCGTGCCACAGCTGATCGAACGCTTTCGTGATGTCATGAGCCTCACCATAAGACTAGATGAGTTTGCTCCACAATTGCGTAACGTAAGCTAGGAGGTCCCCTGTGGATCGTTGGTGCTGGAAACCATACTGCCTGTCGCTAATCAAGCTGTGACGTTCGAGGTAGTCCAGAAACTCGCGATGTATCCACCTCTCCATCACCTTACTTAACAGAAAGCAGAGCTATTGGCCTGTAGTTATAAGGGTCGGCCCTAGATCCTTTTTTGGGATTTGTTGGACTTGAGCAATTTTCCAGTTTTCTGGGAAGATGCCGGATTCATAAGATATCTGGAAGAGACTCAAAAGAACTGGAGCAAGCTCCGCTGCACACCTCTTCAGTACAATGGCAGGAATCAAGTCCGTCAAGTTGCCGCTGTTTGATTTAAAAACACAAGTTTGCTTACTTCTTCCCTAACTTTTAACACTTGGGGCTGTCTAGATATTCTACTGTGCCCACACAGGTGGCTTTTGCATGATATAAACAAACCTACGTAGCTCTGATGGAAACATCGAGGATGACAACGTTTTAAATACTCGAATTCACTCGCGGAGAACCAATAGGATCTTTAAGATACTCACATTAAACTGACACCGAATCATTAACTGCATTATTACTGTAGGGAAGTGCCATTGCTGTTCTCCAAATGCGGTTTGTTTATAAAGTACTTATCTCAAGGCTTCTGTACATATGTTACTAGAAAAACTTGCTCATTGTTACCTGACCTATACCCTCTGTAAAGGAAAGTCTCAACTTTGTGGCCGCTGAAATGATGGGATAAATAAATACAATTAACAATAATGAATTTAATCATACAACAGGTTTTGCATTTACTATTAGTAAACAATAATTATTTGTAATATTCAAAAATGGACTTCATTCTTGTTCACATTCGGTATTTACCTTTATGATCATTATTTACCTAGTGGGACAAATGTAACATCTCCTTAAATGTTTACTCTCCTTACATCTGACGGAAGCCTAATCTTCATAGCAAAAGTAGTTACATTCTAGTATGAAATCATTTTCGAGAGCAGTTTCTCTTTCATAGAAGAAGCTGGTAGCACTTTGAATATACTTTTTGAGGGCCATATATTGAGATTCGGTTGGAATACAAAGCCAAAGACATCAGTGAAGTTGTTCAAATTCTCCCAAATATTGAATTGGCTTTTGTGAACAACTGCAGCAAATCTGACCGGTCTGTCTACCGTTTTGAGGCGAATAAATAATTCCTACTATCTAATAGTGAAAAAATTTCTCTAGGAAGCGTTACTGTTTGTTTTTACAGACACAGCACTATTTTCTTTGATCTTTGAACAATATAAACCACACTTGATCGATTTTCTGGTTTTTTAGCGCACTCTCATATTGTTCTTATAGCTGCCGGTTCGCAAATGTTTTGTCATTTTCGAGTAAATCTAACTCACCTATTATAGTAAAGAAATGTATATTAAGTGTGGTGTCCCACAAGGAACTGTCTTAGGTCCGCTGTTATTCAATATATATTTAAATGATATTTTCCAAATTAATTGTGTTGGCAAAATAACTAGTTTTACAGATGATACTGCAATATTATATGAAGGCACTGACTGGTCTGATCTGAAAAATGTAATTGAAAATGATTTTATCAAAATTATTCGGTGGTTTAACAGTAGAAAATTAAGCATTAACTACTCTAAAACACATTTTTTACCATCTTGGATCCTCACTTACGATGGGACATCCATGTCAATTATATTTTAAAGAAAGTTAGATTTGTATCCTACACAATTAAATACCTTGGGAATATATTGACAGAAAAATATACCATTCACTGATTGAGCCTCATCTCACATATGGTATATTAGCATGGGGAGCTGCATGTTCCTCACATATCTATAATTTAGATGTTTTTCAAAAAAGTATTCTAAAAATGATATTTAAAAAACCGAAACTTTATCCCACTGAAAAATTATACGCAGATGTTCGAATGTATGATATAAGACAACTTTATTTCTTACACAGTATCACTCACTACCATAAATTTGTAAACACCGACCAAAAAATTAAACATAATCATTATACCAGGTACAAAATTCGTGTCACAGTAGTTCCTCAACCGCATAAATCTATAATGCAGCGATCATATCTCTATTTAGCGCCTAAATTTTATGAAATTATACCTAAAGACTTAAAAGATTTACGTTTCGGAAATTGTTTCAAGAGAAATTTAAAAAAGTGGCTACATTCTATATCTAGGACTGAAATTCATAAACTCATAAATACGAACATCAACTAAATACATAATCTACTGTAGCTAATTTTTGTCCTTTTTTGTCATTTGCATTCTACAGTTTCAACTTAAATTTATTGGTCCATGTACAGGCGATGCCTTCTATTGGGCCTGGTTTGATTTTATATTTATTTACTCATATTGTTTGTTATCTTTGTACATTGAGTGAATAAATATTATTATTATTATGTCCTATAAAATGTCAGCTCTATTGAACACATCGTATACTTAGGTATTCAAAACTTGCCCATTGCTGCACTCAATCCTCAAACAACGTCTATAAATGTACCCTTAGTTCATCCTACGTCTCTTTAACTTCTCCACGTGCTTCAAACGCCCGCTTGTCCATTACTCTTTGACCAGTGGAGTACGTGGTCAAGAAAACGTGGAGTACTCCAGATTTTTCTTTTACAGTCCCTTTAAACCTCCAAACGAGTCCGGTAGTATCCCAAAGATTCTCAGGAATTCGGTAATAACGGTCTTCTTGCGCTACTGGCACCCCTACACAGTAAGACATCACGTCTTTATTGAAAGAGGCCGTCTTCTCTCGGCATACAGATTGCTATAGAGGTATTTCATCGGCTAGGAATTCGAATATTGAAGGTGAGAATTGAGTCGGAATGATTAGATGTATACAGAATGACCTCGGATGCAATAAGCATTCGCTTTCCATCTTCGGTCAACCGGTATCCTATGGTACGGATCCGTATCGGGAGCGGAAGTGGCGTTTGAATCAAGGACATACAGAGTGTTACAGAATTCCGGCAGAAAAAATTAAGCATAGATTCAGCACATAGAGTAAAGTCGGCATATATGGAATAGTCGGGTTATATGGAATTTTCCATAATTTTAAAACGGGTGGCTCCATCTCTAAGGTGATGACGACATTAGAATTCTTGTTAAAATCGTAGACTGTTGGCATGAAGTAAAATTGCCGCTAGACGCTAGCAACGCCGAAAAAGTTGAGGTTATGGTTTCCACATGTTTGAAGTTTGTGCACGGTGTCAATTAAAATCGTTTTGTGACTACATTTTGTTTAAATAAAGTTGATTAAGCACAAGGTAAGTTGGTTTAGGCATAATATGGTAGAAATTTTAACGAGTTGCTTTGATATTTTTCATGATAACAAATAGAGTACTTGTTTTGTGTACTTTTTGTGTAGCGTGTAATATGGAATATTCCATATTATCTGCCCTATTGCTATCCCATATTACCCGCTAAGTATAAAGTAAGTTTTTTTTTATTTTCAGATATAATGGCTTCTCCCTTAAAGCAAACGCGAAAACAATGGAGTGAGAAAGATATGGAAAACGCCATTGTATCAGTAAGAAACCAAAATATGGGTTATTTGGCCGCAGCAAGAGCATATAAAGTTCCACGCTCAACACTTTTTCGCCTCTGTAATACTGAAGGGCCTCCAGCAACTGTTAGTAAAACGAAGTTGGGTAAAAGACCAATTTTGTCAGCGGAATTAGAAGAGGAACTAGTACGATATTTACTTATAATGGATCAGAAGTTTTTTGGTCTGACAAGAAGGGATGTTCGATCCTTAGCATTCCAACTTGCTAAACGTAACAATATACCACACCCATTCTCTCTTTTACGTGAATCTGCGGGAAAAGATTGGTTTTCATCATTCATGCACAGGCATAAGAATATACTAAGTTTACGAAAGCCCATTGGAACTTCCCTAGCAAGAGCCGTTGGTTTTAATAAGGAAAATGTTACCGAGTTTTTCGACTTATTAGAGAAGACTATGGCGGAGCGAAATTATGGACCTCACCAAATATATAACGTAGATGAGTCGGGGTTGTCCATTGTGCAATCAAGATGTCCAGAAGTGGTATCGCTTAGAGGCAAACGACAAGTTGGTGCTATCACATCTGCAGAAAGAGGTTCACACAGGTGATTTTGTGCCACGCAAGAAAGCCAGTGACCAGCTAAAGAAGGGGGCACCTCCAGGATCCCTGTTTGCTTTTCACCCATCCGGGTGGATTCAAACAGACTTATTCACAAAATGGTTTGACCATTTCCTAGAAAAAGCCAAACCTTCAGCAGCAAAACCAATACTGCTGATATTAGACGGCCACCATACTCATACAAGAAATCTAGATGTACTTATCAAAGCTAAAGACAATCATGTTACTATTTTATGCCTACCACCACATACGACGCATAAACTTCAGCCCCTTGATAAGACCGTCATGGGTGCATTAAAGACGTTTTATAACGAAGTAGTGAGAATCTTCATGAGGACGGAAAAACGTGCAGTAACGCATTTTGATATTTGCCAGTTATTTGGTAGCTCCTATCTTAAAGTGCAATCTGGGGAAAGAGCCGTTAAAGGGTTTAGTGCCACTGGGATCTACCCTTTAAGAAGGAATATTTTTACAGAAGAAGAGTTTGCGGCCGAAATGCAAAAGGAAAATCAAAATTTGCCGAACAATAACACACGTGCTCATAACGAGCAAAATAACTCGCCTAATGTTTATCCTAGTGACATAGTTCCAGTGCCAGAACTAACAAAGAAGCCGGCAACTCGGGGAAGGAAATGTGGGCGTACTAAAATAATTACGTCGACGCCCAATAACGAGGAATTAGAGCAATCAATTAATCTCTCAAAACAAAAAGTTATCCGAAACGTTTTCGATGAACCTGGACCTAGTGGATTAAAAAACAAAAAGCGTCACAAAAAAATATGTCTCCTCTAGTTCTTCTGATTCACAATCTGAAGCAGTAGTTGATGACTCATCTGATGAAGACCTGCCATTAAGCTGCTACAATAAAAAGCCAACCGGTGAAGATGTCCCATGTATTTTTTGCCTGGAAAAGTTTTACTCGAGCCGAAGTAAAGAAATATGGGTGCAATGCGTAATCTGCTATAATTGGGCTCACGAAGCTTGTACCAGTGCAGAAAAAGATGTTTTTGTTTGCGATTTTTGCGATTCCTAGATATACTTAGATATATTATATATATACGAGTATACCGATGTTCTGAAGTTAAATGGTTTTAGTGAAGTTTTTTGCGTATAATAAGTCTATTCCATATTACCCGATATGCCCGTTCCATATTACCCTCCATTTTTTATTTTCCAACAAAAATGCATTTTTTTTAAATGTTTTCGTAAAATTATCGAATATGATTTAATTTTTAATTTAGCACCTGCCACTGTTTGGAGATACTTAGAACTATTTATTAATGAAATATTGCAGCTCCAAACACTTCAGTTTTGATGTTACCGCTATACGAATAATTGGTATTCCATATATGCCGACTTTACTCTAATAATATGGGAAAAAGGTTAATACAGGTATAGGTCTGGACATGTTTCGCTTAAGGTAAAAGACTATCTGAATGGTTCCTGAAAGGTTGTTAACCCTTTGCGACCTTTGGTCTTCTGGAATAGCCACCAACTCATCGTCAATCCACTGGGTTCATTGTTCGGTATTTTGAAGTTACCAAAATAAATTGCTGGTTATATATGGTTTAAGCTTTTTACGAGTAACAAAATAGCTCAGCTGGTGGGAAGAGTCAGCATAGTCACACGCACCATTAATTTGTATAACGGGTACTCAACATGTCTTCGTATCCTGTGAGCCGAATTTAACCTTTCAAAGCTTATTTTGTCCTCTTTTCAAGGGCCGTATCGTCAGTCGTTCCTACCATTGTAGGACGCCTTTATGGCCTCCTTGATTTTCATAGTTTTCTAGTGCTTGGTATCAGCGCTCCATTTTGAGGTTATGTTACAAATATCTAGCATCAAATTGTTCATGTTTCTGATTTATATCTTCTGTTATATCAGCCTGAAATTTCTTGCAATTCAAAAAGAAAGCATGGCCTCACAATAGGAGGACGCCGACCCTGACACGGAACAGTAGAAATATAGGAATTATGATTAGTTTATTTTTTTAATGCTCCAGACATACCAAGGCTTCAAAATTTTATTAGTTTGTGCAGGTACTACTGCTTTAAATGAGGAAAGAATCCATTTTTGATAGAGTAAAAACCAATTTCGAATAATTTCCGATCAACTTACCTCAAATATCTCAAAGTCTAGGAACAGTCGTTAAGGCCATGTCGAAGAACACATTGTACGTTAGAATAACAAACTCAAGGATACAAATACCTCATTTATTTCAATATAATTTAACGCAGAACTCATAACAGAGACCGCTAAATATACTAAGTGACATATAAATCCGAACACCCAGTTTAAACGGTTTTATTTTAATAAAATTTTGTATAAGTACTTAATGAAGCATAATAAGTAAATGATAAAAACTTCAAAATGATTGCACTGCTTTAAAGCCCCTTGACCTTTAATAATGTATGGATGCACCCTGATGTGCCACGCATTCTCCAACGCGCCTAGGCATGCTTCTGATCAGGTGGTCAATGTCCTCCTGTGGTATCTCATTCCAGGCAACCACCAACTATTCTCGAAGTGCTTCTAGAGTCGGAGGAGGACGTTGCAAATTGAGCAATCTCCTGCCCATCATATCCCACACGTGCTCAATTGGGGATAAGTCGGGAGATCTTGGTGGCCATGGTAACAGTGTGACATCAGTATGTTGAAAGAAGTCTATTGTGACTCTTGCAACATGTGGTCGGGCATTATCTTGTTGGAAAGTTGGATCTGCCAGGGTGTCAAGATAGGGTAAAAGACGGAGTTCTAGAACTTCGTGGATATAATGCTGCGCGTTCATGTTACCTCTGACGAAGATTAAAGGTGACCTGGAACCATAAGCTATAGCACCCCAAACCATAACTCCAACAGTGTGAACATGTCTTACAACAAAAAACTGTGGATTCCTCCTTTCACCACGTCGCCTTCTAACCCTGGCACGACCATCGTGCATGCCTAAACAAAATCGAGACTCGTCACTAAAGACAATACTGTCCCATTCCTGATCCCAGAGTGACCGTTGTCTGCACCACTCAAGGCGATTACGTCGGTGTTCTCGAGTTAAAGGGAGGACCCAGTGTGGCCGGTATGAAAACAAGCCAAAACTTCTCATTCGTCGGTAAACACTTCGCATGCCAATAGGTCTTCCGTGTTCTGCAAATCATTCATTTGCAATGGACCTGGTAGTGCAGAAACGGTCCCTTAAGGCCAATAACCTTAGGCGGCGATCTTCACGGTCTGTTGTTCTACGGCGGCGTCCAGTGCCCCTTGCTCTTTGCGTACGGCCTTCTCGAAGCCATGCCTGACAACACCTAACCACAGTGTCTACACTTCTTTGCACTCTAACTGCAATTGCCCGAAAAGAAAGTCCAGCTTCCCGAAGTCCCACTATACGGCCCCTATCAAACTCACTAAGTTGACGAAATCGTACAGGTCTCCGTACTCTAGGCATCGTAACCGATCGTAAAGGATGTCAAGAACCAAAATCCGCCAACGTTGATTCTTTACTGCGGCTGAAATATTCATTTTTAGAGCGTTAGTGAATTAAAAAAAAAGCAGTATAAAAACTGAAATGTCCAACTGATAAGGCTGAAAATTTTTTCACTTGTTATTTACAGTAAGATAAATACATTCACCAACTTTTATTAAAATAAAACCATTTAAACTGGGTGTTCGGATTTATATGTCACTTAGTATAATAAGTTAAAGGTAGGTAGGATGATTCATATGGCACCATTAGAACAGCTGTGTCAGGTACCAGTGGCTTAACACAGCAGTCAATGTATTAGTATGTACCCTCAATTTGAATGCTCTAATAGAAGCATATAAAAAACCAGGTCACGTGATCCAAATCGTGGTCAGACTTTAGATTATTTTTAGCTCCTATCCTAAAGGCGCACATGGCATTTTGGACCTTCAATTATTTTAGAAAATGAGTATTTCCAGAGCTTGCATCGACAATAAGGATTTATCACATAAAGACTTTCGCCCTAGTATATTATTTTTTTGATCAATCTGGAATCAAGATTATGTTTCCTGAATAGCATCAAGCACATCTTCTTTTTCGTTAATTGCTATACTTTCCATGTAATTTTAAAAAGCTTAGCCTCATGATTTGAAATAAGGGCTTTCGAACCTCGTTTCAAATCAATATCCAGTCACGATTTTGATAAAACGGAATTTGCTACAAAAACCTTGTTACCCATAACAGTGTTTATTTAAGGGCGATACTAAATAAAATGTAATTAAACTTCATTTAGTTTATAAAAAAATGCACGTGTAACATGATTTAACTAGATTTCATTCATTATAGCCCAGCGAGTAGCATTTCGAAACGTTAACAGATTTAAATGGATATTTTAATAGAAAAAGGGTTGTCAACTATATTGACTCTGCATTTGCCACGCAAGGCCGTCATGCATTCAGCATAAGTTAGATTCTTTGAAAAAAAACCAGAAAGGTTAAAGCGATCAAGTCAGTCAAACAGGTTCATGAAATGAATCCGCTGACATCCTTTCCCTGCACTACCCGTCCATCTGGCAACGTCGCCTCACCCTAATACCACGATGCGTTGAGGACGCATGACGAAAATGTTCCTCTATGTAGGGTAAAACCAGTTGCTTCAATTATGTCTAGTAGGTGCGTAGAATTACCGGGATTGGAAGTTTAATAGTAACAATAAATAGCGTTTATTGCCCAACAGTTAAGGAAATCATTTACAGGACAATCCTAAGATAAGTCAAAATAATAAGAACAGAAAACTCATAAAAAGCAGGTGATTTCATCTAAGGAAAAAAAACAAACAAGAAAAAGAAGCAAAAAAAAACATATTTCACTCAGGTGAGTAACATTATCATAAATTATCCAAGCAATTTCTAGCTACTCCCAGTTCGCTGTTCAAACTGTCAGCAAGCATATTACAATAATTTGATATTGCATTGAAAGTGTCACACATCACATATATGGGTGCCTTCTAAAACAAATTTGTGCGAGCCCTATCACAATAAAATGTTTTAGCTGTACAAGCTTGAATAGATGGAACATTAAAGTTTATTTGAGCCACAATCCCATTAGCATCTATTTGTGCAGTAATTTATGCAAAAACATAATTGATGCACACTTCCTTCTCAATTTTAAAGACTACACTTGAAACCTAGACAATAACAAACTTTCAGATACACCAGGTTCAGGATATATACCATCAACATTAAAAGATAAAAATTTTGGAAACATTCTCTGAACATGCTCAAGAGAATCAATGTAGTAGTTGTAAATTGGGTTCCAAATTAACGATGCATATTCTAATTTCGATCTAATATATGCAGAATACAAAACCAACAGTGACTCTGGGCGGCTAAAGCTTCTACAGTTTCTCACAGTTAAGTTAAGTTTATGGTCAGCACCTACACCCAAGTCCTTAATTGAGTTAGAACGATTTATGTAAACATCCCTAATTTTATACTTAAATTTACAAGCAAAAGTTTTACTGGAAAAGCTGGCTACACTACACTTAGACGCATTAAGAAATAAATTATTCTCGTCACACCAAGCCACTAGAGAATCAATATCATGAAGTGCAATACGATCAGTCTCAGACTCAATAATCCTGAATAATATTAAATCATCCGCAAAGAGGAGCTTATTACAACTTAAATAATGCACAACATCATCAATAAATAAGGTAAGCAATAAAGGACCAAGATTTGAACCCTGAGGCACTCCCGATTTAGTTATATACTGGTACAACTTGAATCCGTTAAAAGTAACGGATTGCTTCCTTTCATGAAGATAACTTTGAATGAGTGCTAAAGCTGAAAAAAAGTTTATTCAAAAGTCAAATTTATATACTATCATCAACGATACACCTTCCTCCATACCCTACAACCCCTCAAATTAAATTTGTTTTAACCTAGAAATGTTTTTCAAAACTTCATAAACGAAGTTTCAGTTTTTTTATTTTTTTCGCTCTCAGCATTTTCCTCCGCCTTTCCAAAAACTACAACGCTTTCGTTCCTGGGATGTTAGTAACCTTATCCGAATCCAAGGGGTACTTTCCATGTTATAGACCGATAAACACGTGGCTTGTGCTATTTGTGGTTTTGTGTAGCAGCCTACTTCCTATATTAAAAGTATCTCATCTTTAGGTATGATTTCACGGTTTTCTTTTCGGATGTCAATAAAGGCTTTCTTATTTGTGGAAGCAATGACCGTCTTCTCAGTAATATTCGTGGCTCAATCAGAAGGCTTTATTATTTGATTATGTCTAAGCTAGGTTTTGGGTAAGGTCTAGTAGCCCTATCTTTCGTCAAACGGTTTACCGACATGCCGGTCTTATTGTTTTTGTAAATCAGTTGATTTGTGCAGTTCGGTTGAGGATACCACATTACAACTGTGGCGTTGGTTGAACTATAGTACGTAATCCTGGGGATACCAATAGATAAGGTAGAAGAACATCATGCGAATACTTCTGTTAGAGAAATTCAATATATCAATTATAATGGCCTAAGAGAAGACCTAGATAAATATAATTGGACCATTTATTACTCTGAAAATAATGCTAACATTTTGGTTAGCCAACTAGGTGACATATTAAGATCTTTAACTGATAAAAATACAACCACAAAGAAATTGAATTGGCGCGAGATCAAGCGACAGCCTTGGATCACATCAGGTATTGTAAATTCTGTTAATGAAAAAAATCGTGTATATTCTGAGTATTTTATGCAGCCAGAAAATGAGCAGGTGAGGATAAGGTATCTTGAATATAAGAAAAAATTAGAAAAACTCATACGAAATTCTAAATACTATTTTTACAAGAAACAAAAAAATAAAAACAAAGATACTCCTAAGAACTTGTGGAACGTAGTTAATAAACTATTTAAAGGCACTTCTAAATGTGCAGTTAAGGAAATAGTTGATGAAAATAAATTATGTGATTCGCCAATAACAATTGCGAATAAGTCTAACGATTTCTTTGTAAATATTGGCAAATACTATGATGAGGCCAAACAAAAAGAGACCGCAAAGGAAAATAAATCAAAGTACATTTTTCTTAGAGGCGGTAGATGTAACTGAAGTAACCTCAATCGTTAACACATTAAAAAATGGAAAATCGCCCGGTTTTGGCAACTTGAAGTCCGAGATACTTAAATATACTACTGACATTATTTCAATGCCGCTATGTCACTTAATCAACCGGATTTATATTTCTAATGAAGTCCCAGAAGGGTTCAAAGAATCTTTAGTTACACCTGTCCATAAAAAAAGTGATGTAAAAAGTATAAATAACTATAGACCAATATCTGTCATCATAATAATAGCTAAAATATTTGAGAAAACATTGAAAAATAGGCTAGTTAAATTTTTTGACAAATGCAAATATCTGTAAAATTAGCAATTCGGTTTTCGAGAGGGAGTATCAACCAAAGATGCAATTGCTAAGTTAACAGAAGAGATTAGAAAAAGATTAGAATTGAGTACACCGGTACTGTGCGTATTCTTGGAGGATGCAGGAGTACGAGGCAGACCTTTACAGTTGTTTACAAGCTATCTCTCAAATCGAAAACAAGTAGTGAAGATTAGTGACACATTCAGTAATGAAAAGTCAGTTGATTACGGTTTACCTCAGGGTACTGTGTTGGGTCCAATCTTGCTTACAATTTTCATAAACAGCATTCTAACTTCTTGGTCAGACAGTCAAGTGTTTAGCTTTGCAGATTTTACGGTAGTGCTGTATGATGATAACACTTGGGAAAATGTAAAAATTAAAGCAGAGCGGGACCTAGGAACTATTTTTGATTATTATGCTAACTTTTAACCATAAGCTATGAAAAAACATTCTTTATGCCTTTTTCTAATACAGTACGTTGTCTATCTCAGTATGAACAACTTTTAATAAATCAAAGTATCTTTAACATCTAGGAAAACCTATAAATACTTAGGTGTCACCATTGACCGCCACTTGAGATGGGATGTTCATATAGCTAACATTACAAATACCTTACGACAACTCTTATATCGCTTTAAATACTTAAAACATCTCATAGACTACATGCACCTGAAAATGTTGTATTATTCATTAGTTGAATCACGTCTATGATACGCTATCTTGAGTTGGGGAAGTACCGCATATTGCTATTTGCGGCCTCTGGATATACTTCAAAAAAGAATATTGAAAGTAATATCTGGCAAAAAAATTACTTATCCTTCTGATAAATTATTTTCAGAGTATTTGACCTAAGGTAACTGTTTCTGCATGAATTAATTCAATTAATATACAAACACAAAAACAACTTCAATAAAACTAGCCATGTTTATTGTACTGGACATAAAGAAAATGAAAACATAAAAATACAAACTTTTCAAAGAAATGTAAGCTTGCGATGCCACACCTATCTGTCATGTAAAATTTATAATTGTTTGCCATACATGTACCGTATGTATGTTGATAAAATAAACTCATTGTCTCTGATGAAATCTTTATTTGAAAAATATATTTTTTTAATTGGTAGACAAGAGACACGAAATCTAGCAAAAATGATTTACTAGAAATCGTACTACGCTAGTACTCGTATTACTCCTCCTCACCCTCCATATTTCTGTAGTTAGTGTAATAAACTGTATTATTTGAGTGCTACTCCTCCTTACCTTCCATACTTACAATGTGCTTGTAGTATAAATCCTGCTCTAAGCAAAGTTTATTATCAAAATTATATCAAAAAAAAATCTACCCGTGCACAACCAACCATTTTGGTTTCAATGGGCTTTACAATGCGATTTAAAAATTTTCTGTGACTTATCAAACATGTTAAATTAAGATTATTTTATAAAAGTCAGGTATTATGTTTTATTTTGGGGGAAAAAATAAAGGTATACTCAACTCAATAAAATCCGATTAATAAAGTTTTTTTAAGCTCCTCATACCACCCGCGATGCCGTGGTATTAAGGCTTCTTTCTGCCTGCGTGGCTGCTTCGGTATAAAAAAATAGTCACAACCTTGAGGATCACGACCATAGGATCAATGATATCATGGTCGTGACCTTTATCACTGGTAGTGACAAATAATCACAGTATGAGCTCGGCGAAGCTAATAAATAAATCGTTTTAATTTGTTTTCCGAAGAATAGGAACCAAAGTGGAATCATAATACCAATTACAGTCGTATTCGTAGATGGACAGATTTCAAGGACTATTGCTACTGTTTCGATTGGTTGGTGCATACAAGCACTGAACTATACCGAGAGGATATTGTCACGTCCCGTGGTCTCGAATACTGCAAAACAGGCAACCGATAGCTTAAACACAAGCACCTCATTAGTTGCAAAACAGACTAATAAAGAGCATGTGGAGTTGGTTAACGGAACATTGAAGTGGTTTTACAGCCACGCAGTCACGGATTCGATGTTTACACTTTATGGGTATCCAGTCCTCTATACGATGTGCTTACACACTGGTCTAGCAGCAATAAACGATTACTTACTGTGTGTAACGTGGGATACTCTTACTTACCGCAAGATAAACAGGGTTTGGTGTAACAGCTGTGATAATGAAACATTTTATAGATCCATTTAGCTACTAATGGTCAAGTTAACCAATAGGGAATATCGTAACAACATGAACAGATATTTGGAGATATACAGGGTGTTTCAGTTTATTGTTGCATAACTTTAAGATTCGATAGAACTTTTAAAATTAATGCATAAAGTCTATATAAACTTGGTTCGGAAAATGCGTAGCTTCTGAAATACAGGGTGTTTAAATTTACTGTCTAAAATGGTTTTTCTTAAATATTTCGAACAATATTTGATGTATAACAGTGAAAATTGGTATATAAGGGTTTTTTGGTACGACAAACCGAACCATGGGCATAGTTTTACTGTAGCCGCTAGAGGGCGCTCTCTACTGTACCTGCAGAGTATCAAAATGACCGAAAAATTTTTCTTAGTGCAATTTTTTGCTTTTAGAATAAAAAAACTGATTCTTCGCACTTTTCAACATAAAAAAGCTCTCCTGTGAGTTTTCGTTATAGTTAGCCGTTTTTGAGATATTTCGATTTTTAATGTTCGATGCATTTTTAGTTATTTATGGGAAAATAATATTTTTTTTTACATTTTCGATTTGGGCATTACAAGTAATTAAGATGATCGTTTAGATTGTGTTTTTAAACACAGCAATAATTCCTAACTCCAAATAAAAACAAAAAAAAACAGAATATTAATTTGTTTAATTTTCCAATATCATTTTTAACAAATTAAATCAATTATTTACAACTAAAATGCTATTGGATAGTTAGGACAAACATACAAAATTTGAAGTAGTTGCTCGAAATGTAAACCCAATTGTTCAATACACAATTCACATCTACGAATGATCGAACGTGGTATAGCATTATTCAAATAAAGCCTTATTTCATCACATGCATTCCTGATTCTGTCTATTAGCACATCTCTTGTGGTTACGGGAGTCTGGTACACTTTTTCTTTTAGAAATCCGCACACAAAGAAATCTGATGGATTTAGGTCAGGGGATCGTGGAGGCCAGGCGACTGGTCCTCCACGGCCGATCCATCTTTCTGGATAATTTTCGTTCAGCCAGTTTCTAACTATTCTCGAATAATGAGCTGGACAACCATCAAGCTGGAACCAGGCCAATCTTCTTAAATCTAACATAACATCATCCCACATATTTGCATATTCAGCCTTTAAAAATTCCAAGAAGGTCGCAGCATTTAACCCTGCAGGCAAAAGGTAGGGTCCAAATAGTCGATTACGGTAGATACCAATCTACACGTTCACACTAAATTCATGCTGAAAATTTCTTTCCCGAACTGCATGCGGATTTTCATGCGACCAAATATGTTGATTATGAAAATTTACCACTCCACGTCTAGTGAAGCATGACTCATCGGACCATAAAACGTTACTTAAAAACTCCCTATTATTATCAGTTCTATCAAGAATCCACTGACAAAATGTGATTCTTCGTTCTCCGCCCCTGGCTGTAGTCCTTGCACAGGTTGCAAATGGTAAGGACGTCTATGGTCATTTCTAAGAACACGGTGAACATGGCTTGCTGAAATTCCCAAGGCACCAGAAACTCTCCTAATACTTGTGGTCGGATCTCTATCAAACTCACGCAGAATCATACGGGTAAATCTGCGCTGACGAACATTTATGTTTTGATCCCTTTGGAGATTTCCAAAACCATTTTCAATTATTTGGCGATGCACTATTACAAATACTGAGCGAGTTGCATGTCGTCTGTTTGGAAATCTTCGTGCGTATTCTCTGGCTGCTTCTGCTGCGTTTCCATCTATAAAGCCATACACAAAATGAATATCCGCTAACTCTTCATTGGAGAATAAATATGGCATTTCTATAAAACTTACAAAAAAAAAACAGGTAAAAGAAACTAAATTTCGTGCATTCACAATTGCAAAAAAACGTTTCAGGTTGAACAGACAACAAAACTAACTGTCAACTAATTGACGTTTAACCTTATTCTGCTTTCAATTTCAAAAATATTTGCAGGCACAGCCTACTTCCAAAAATTATCGAGATACTGACTTTTTAACGTTATTTTATCATAAATAATTAAAAATGCATCGAACCATAAAAATCTAAATATCTCAAAAATGGCTAACTATAATGAAAATTCACAAGAGAGCTTTTTTATGTTGAAAAGTGCGAAGAATAGTTTTTTTTTATTCAAAAAGCAAAAAATTGCACTAAGAAAAATTTTTTGTCATTTTAATACACTACAGGTCCAGTAGAGAGCGCCCTCTAGCGGCATAAGTAAAACTATGCCCATGGTTCGTTTTATCGTACCAAGAAACCCTTGTGTACCAATTTTCACTGTTATACATCAAATATTGTTCGAAATATTTAAAAAAACTCTTTTAGAAAGTAAATTTAAACACTCTGTGTTTCGGAAGCCACGCACTTTTCGACCCATGTTTATATAGACTTTATGCATTAATTTTAAAAGTTCTATCGAATCTTGAAGCCATATAAGATTATATCTCAGCACACATTAATAATATTTTGTTGTGCGACAATAATTTATTTAAATAATTATTTCTGAAGTATATGTAACAGGCGTCCAGAACTACCAGCGCCGGAAGCGTATAAAAATACTTACGCCTGAGCCCCTACAGCCTCACGCCGCCCATATTTCATCATTTAAAAATGTTCCAATGATGGACGAGCCTATAAAATGTCAAAAAATCAACAGTGTGTGATTTATATTTTTTTCATATTTTGCCAGTATCTCCACCGCCACTGAAACGGTTTTCAAAAAGTTCATCAAAATCAGACAGACAAAGAGACAGAAATTGGTGATGATGATGGTTTCTCGTGATGTATACAGGGTGACTTGTAATGTCACGTATTCCTGTTAAGGGGTGATTGATTAGGTCAAAAGCAACCGATTTCGTCCTATCATGTCTTATCCAAAAGTTAACCATTTTTGAGTTATTTGAATTTTAAGTTTTTTATTTTTTATTCCGATTTCAAACAGTTAAAATTGAAATACAAAAAAACTGCATGCTTGATTTTGAGTTTATCGTTTATCGTCGCATAGCAGACATTCCAATATGTAGTTCATAATAAGTAATAAAATGTTGAGCTACACACGTTTTAAAATTACGCTTTTTAAATGTATCATTTTCTTTTTTTACTAACTTCGATAACATTTTTCGATAAAATATGCAATTTTCTGTAAAAAATATCCTAGTAATGAAATGTGCAAATTATGTAAATAATATCTCTATCTAACAAGCTTTCATTTGAGGTATTAAGCGTTCAATTATCTGAAGTACATGCAGAGAAACAACAATGACACCCACAGAGGCTGGATTTTTAAGGAATTTGTATTTCCTGTTTGAACAAATCGTTACTGTCCTCAAAGGACTCGCATGCCATGATTGTTTTATGGCATCGGCTCAACGAAGAAGCGAGCGAGAAGAGCTGACTTAGTGGAGGAGTGAGAGAGAGAGAGCGCTGTTACTATTCATCATTGTAACGTAGTTACGCCATCGCCGCACGCCGAGTGTGAATTAGGTTTAGTTGGCATCAACTACTGCGTACGTGCACACGTTTTACGCACGATTATTATTTTCGAGTTTCCCAGTTCATTTCGAGTGGTTTGTTTATCATCATGGCAGACGCAGAAGGTCCGCCAGGACCTCGCCATAGCGAGCACGGGCAAACTTTTACAAATGAAGAATACGCAGACATAATATTCTGTTATGGACTTTGTAACGGCGATTCTGCAGCTTGCCGCCGTGAATATCGGCAACGTTTCCCGAATCGCCGCACACCTCATGTTACTGTGTTTGACTCTGTGTATCGGCGCATCCGCCAAACCGGACGTGTTCAAAGGCAACATAGTGATGCTGGTCGACCCCGAGTCTAACCTCCTCAAGATGAAGAGGAAATCCTTCGTGTGTTTCAGGAAGACCCTACTACATCTACGCGCATTGTGGCTGCTCAGTTGGGTGTATCACAATACAAAGTATGGTTTACTGTGTATACTGCAAGGGCGATCCTGCAAGGCGATTAGATTTCTGCAGGTATATGTTACATGCAGATACAGAAGATCCAGACTATTTTAAGAAAATTCTGTGGACCGACGAATCGAAGTTTGATAAGGACGGGATCACTAACTACCATAATGCTCATTACTGGGCAGTTAAGGAAGCTTTACACCCCCGAAAAATAAGACCGACGGGGTCTCAGAGCCGGTTTTCAGTCAATGTGTGGATGGACATCGTTGATGGATATTCAATTGGACCTCATTTTCTGTCCGCCAATTTAAATGGAGAAGTGTATGAAGAGTTCTTGAAAAATAACTTGTTTCCATTAATGGAAGACGTCCCATTGGCGACGAGACAAAATATGTGGTTCCAGCACGTCGGCTATCCCGCACACAACAGCAGATTAGTACGGGCGTATTTAGACTTTAAATTTCCAAATCAATGGACTGGCAGAGGCGGGCCCATTGCCTGGCCAGCAAGAAGCCCAGATCTCACACCGATGGATTACTATGTGTGGGGACATATGAAAAGCCTGGTGTACGATGTTTCGCCCGTACCAAGGCGCGATGAATTAGTTACAAGAATAATCAGTGCAGCTGACCAAATAAAAAGCCGCTTAACAACTAGAGTTACCAAAAGTGAATTACGTAAGAGAATGCGGGCGTGTATTCGTTACAGGGGATTACAATTTGAGCAGAACCTGTAAAATACTAAAGGAAATGTAATTAAATAAAATTGTATTTAAAATAAAAGCCTTTTATTTATCCTACGTAATTATCGTTCGTACAACTTTACTCACCTATTTTTAATTTTATATCTTTGTACTTGAGTTAGTTGTAACTTTTATACCTCAAATGAAAGCTTGTTAGATAGAGATATTATTTACATAATTTGCACATTTCATTACATCACTCGAAATGAACTGGGAAACTCTAAAATAATAATCGTGCGTAAAACGTGTGCACGTACGCAATAGTTGATACCAACTAAACCTAATTCTCACTCGGCTTGCGCCGATGGCGTAACTACAATGATGAATAATAACAGCTCTCTCTCTCTCTCTCACTCCTCCACTAGGTCAGCTCTTCTCGCTAGCGTCCTCGTCGAGCCGATGCCATAAAACAATCATGGCATGCGAGTCCTTTGAGGACAGTAACGACTTGTTCAATAGAGGTAATCACAAATTCCTTAAAAATCCAGCCTCTGTGGGTATCATTGTTGTTTCTCTGCATCTACTTTAGATAATTGAACGCTTAATACCTCAAATGAAAGCTTGTTAGATAGAGATATTATTTACATATTTTGCACATTTCATTACTAGGAGATTTTTTACAGAAAATTGCATTTTTTATCGAATAAGTTAGTAAAAAAATAAGAAAATCATACGTTTCAAAAGCGTAGTTTTAAAACTTTTGTAAGTTTTCAACATTTTATTACTTATTATGCGACAATAATAAAAGACTCAGAATCAAACATGTAGTTTTTTGTATTCCAAATTTAACCGTCTGAAATCGGAATAAAAAAAAATTCAAATAACTCAAAAACGGTTAACTTCTGGATAGGACATTATAGGACAAAATCGGTTGCTTTTGACCTAATCTATCACCCCTTAACAGAAGTACCTGACATTAAAAGTCACCCTGTATAATAATAATAACGTTTATTCTGTTAAATACTATCAGCTGGTGTGGCAAACAAACAATAAATGTTAAATAAATGTAAGAAAGAAAAACATAATACGTACAGTATTTCAGATAAACATGCTTTATGAGCCAATGAACATTGCTGAAATATCATGTAAAGCCCGTTGAATCCAAAATGGTCGGTTGTGTACGGGAAGGTTTTACTTTTATGATTTTAATATTAAGCTTTGTTAAGAGCAAAATGTTTGGCACATATAAATTCTAACTAACACTCTAGAAGTATGGAGGGTAAGAAAGAGTAGCACTAGCGTTGTACGATTGTTAGTAGGCAATTACTACTAGCTATCTTATTTCTTGTCTACCAATTAAGAAAATTTATTTTTTAAATAAGGTTTTTATCAAAGACGATAAGTTTATGTTATCAATATACAATAAATTATAAATCTTACATGATAGGCAAGTGTGGCATCGTAGGCTTACATTTTTTGAATATATCATGTAAAATCCAAAAAACATAATATCCTGTTTTCGCTATTACAATACAATAGGTATATAATTCCTAGCAAACTGACGTGGGAGGTAAAAAATTGGAATCGATTGAAAACTTCCAGAAGAAACTAGGGTACTTTACATATAATCATTCATGATACTAACAGTATAATAAATATTATTCTCTTAATAGTTTTGAGTATTCATATTATAATAAGTATCTGAATCGATAGTTCTCACTTGCTGATTTCGATCAACTTATTACCACAAACATTGTCAACCTGAAACATGAAATTGGTTTTAAAGTTTTTCTCTTGCTTTGTTTCCGACCGTCTATGCAATGTGATCCAGTTATATCCTTAATTAACACCACGATCATGGCATAAAACAGCATTTTTTGTAATTTTTTTGTGGAAGGAATGGTAATGAAGTAATAATATTGTAAGAAGCTATTACATGGCGTTACTCTTATGACCCAATTTTTTGAACCGCACGCTTCAAAACTGTAATAATTGTCGTCTTTTTCATTCGATTTTTCAACAATATCTTTAAAATAACATTTGAAGAGAAATACGTGGGGAGCTTTAATTATTATTTAATAAAAGATATTGCTTTAAATTGATCGCAAGCAAAATTTATAAATCCCCTATATATTTCTTTGGCTATAGACGTACAATAATTTGTGTTTGTTTCTTTTTTCTTGGCCCAAATTTGCAGCACCTACACTGCGTGCCCCCAGAGCGCCTCAAATGTGCCTCGCGAAAGTGTCGACATTTTTCAATATCTTTTACGATATCTTTTTGTTACCGATTTATATGCTCAATAACTTCGTCCTTTTATTACCATACATTACATAAAAAATATATTAAAATCACCTTTTTAAGCCGTTACAACGGCGTTACGGGGATGTCTTTTAAGTTTTGCATATAGAAACACAGTAGGCCGCGCAGTATTCTCACTACAGTGAACTGGTTCATATTTTAATTTTGAGGTAATATTACTAGAATACCTCAAAATTGAGTCAAAATGGACTTACGACTGTTTACCTCTCAGCTACTGATATAGAAACATAGTAGGCCGTGCGGATCGAACGTCAATACTGAATCTTAACCTCACTCTTTAGTAAACTTAAATTCAAAGTTTCACAACAATACGTGCAGTGTTCTCACTACAGTGAATTTTTAAGTGTCACCAAGTCATTAGAAGAATGAAACTCAACCGAGAACATTTTCGCGCCATAACAACTTTCAGAGACAATTATCGCAACAAGAATGGGTGCACCAAAAACGGCAGTCACCCAGGAAAACGTCGATGCTGTGCGCAAACTCGTCATTGAAGATAGAGATGTGACATATCGCGAGATTGAGGCCTCCTTGAAGATCTCATAGACCTCAATTCAAAAAATTTTACATGAAGAATTAGGAGTAAGAAAATAAGTTTCTCGTTGACTGAAGAGCAGAAAGCAGCCAGGGTTAACTGGTGTCAAAAAACGCTTGACCGTTTCAATTCCGGAAACTCAAAAAATGTGTACAGCATTGTCAGTGGTGACGAATCGTGGATTTACTGTTATGAACCAGAAAATAAATGTCAGCTGTTTGGGTGGTCCAAGGTGAAGAAAAGCCAACAAAAGTAATTTCGTAAAAGATGGTCGCGACATTTGGGTCAAAAGCGGGTCATACCGCAACAATTCGTCCTAACGAGCAAAGAACTGTTACTGCGGATTGGTCTACCACCATTTGTTTGCCAAAAATTATCACCGAGCTTCGAAAAATCAAGCCCGAAAGAAGAATCATCCTCCACCAAGACAATGCAAGCTCGCACACAGCCCAAAAAACAAGGCAGTATTTAACGGAAGAAAACGTGGAATTTTTGGACCATCCTCCATATAGTCCCGATCTAAGTCCTAACGATTTCTTTACTTTCCCGAAAATTAAAAACAGACTGCGTGGTCAAAGGTTCCAGTCACCAGAAGAAGCAGTTGACGCATTCAAAAATGCCGTTTTGGATATGCCAGCAAACAAGTGGAATAAGTGCTTCGAAAATTGGTTTGAGCGCATGCAAAGTCATTTAAAACTACCTACCGTGTTGTTTTATTTCCATATGCAAAACTTAAAAGACATCCCTCGTACCCCTTAAGACAGCACAACTTTATCATCTGAAGCTCCTTAAAAACAGTGTCAAATAATTATTAATTATTCTGTAAACAAATTTTCAGGTTGCATCTGTTTGTACGAATTTTCTTCTTTTTCACCTCTATAGCTATCTATAACACTGCTTTCAGTATATCAGTTTTCTGGTTTGCCGGTACCCACGTGGATTTTCCTTAACCGTCAAATTGTAGTCTATATCCAAGAACCGTAGCTGTTCTGAGTCAAACTTCGGCCATATAATGTTCTGCAGCTGAGCATCTCTCTTTGGCGTTGGATTCCTGGAATACGTAATTTCATATAACTATGTTCCGTACCGCTTATACGAGTATATAATGCAGCGTTCGCTCACTTAGCACTTGCCGCAAACTCCAAATCTCTGCAAACGTTTGGTTTTTTTTTGAGGACGCCGTCCATACGTTTTCGGGCTCGTCAGGTGGCGAGCTTGTATTGACCATAACGTTTGGACTCTGCTTATTTTTATTATGAAAACAACAAAATAAGTCAAAGAAAGCAAAATGTACGACCAAAAAGGTGGTGAACGTTATACAGGGTGTTTCAGTTTATTGTTGCATAACTTTAAGATTCGATAGAACTTTTAAAATTAATGCATAAAGTTTATATAAACATGGGTCGAAAAATGCGTGGCTTCCGAAATTCAGGGTGTTTAAAGTTACTTCCTAAAATAGTTTTTTTTAAATATTTCGAACAATATTTAATGTATAACCGTGAAAATCGGTATACAAGAGTTTTTTGGTACGACAAAACGAACCATGGGTATAGTTTTACTGTAGCCGCTAGAGGGCGCTCTCTACTGTACCTATAGTGTATTAAAATGACCGAAAAATTTTTCTTAGTGCAATTTTTTGCATTTTGAATAAAAAACTGATTCCCTGCATTTTTCAACATAAAAAAGCTTCCTTGTGAATTTTCGTTATAGTTAGCCGTTTTTGAGATATTTCGATTTTTAAGGTTCGATGCATTTTTGATTATTTATGATAAAATAACGTTAAAAAGTCAGTATCTCGATAATTTTTAGAAGTAGGCTGTGCCTGCAAATATTTTTTGAAATTGAATGCCGAATAAGGTTAAACGTCAATTAGTTGACAGTTAGTTTTGTTGTCTGTTGAAACCTGAAACGTTTTTTTGCACGAAATTTAGTTTCTTTTACCTGTTTTTTTTTGTAAGTTTTATAAAAATGCCATTTTTATTCTCCAATCAAGAGTTAGCGGATATTCATTTTGTGTATGGCTTTGTAAATGGAAACGCAGCAGAAGCAGCCAGAGAATACGCACGAAGATTTCCAAACAGACGACATCCAACTCGCTCAGTATTTGTAAGAGTGCATCGCCAAATAATTGAAAATGGTTTTTGAAATCTCCAAAGGGATCAAAACATAAATGTTCGTCAGCACAGATTTACCCATATGATTCTGCGTGAGTTTGATAGAAATCCGACCACAAGTGTTAGGAGAGTTTGTGGTGCCTTGGGAATTTCAGCAAGCCATGTTCACCGTGTTCTTAGAAATGACCATAGAAGTCCTTACCATTTGCAACCTGTGCAAGGACTACAGCCAGGGGACGGAGAACGAAGAATCACATTTTGTCAGTGGATTCTTGATAGAACTGATAATAATAGGGTGTTTTTAAGTAACGTTTTATGGACCGATGAGTCATGCTTCACTACACGTGGAGTGGTAAATTTTCATAATCAACATATTTGGTCGCATGAAAATCCGCATGCAGTTCGGATAAGAAATTTTCAGCATGAATTTAGTGTGAACGTGTGGATTGGTATCTACCGTAATCGACTATTTGTACCCTACCCTTTAGGTTAAATGCTGCGACCTTCTTGGAATTTTTAAAGGCTGAACATGCAAATATGTGGGATGATGTTATGTTAGATTTAAGAAGATTGGCCTGGTTCCAGCTTGATGGTGGTCCAGCTCATTATTCGAGAATAGTTAGAAACTGGCTGGACGAAAATTATCCAGAAAGATGGATCGGCCGTGGAGGACCAGTCGCCTGGCTTCCACGATCCCCTGACTTAAATCCATTAGATTTCTTTGTGTGGGGATTTCTAAAAAAAAAAGTGTATCAGACTGCCGTAACCACAAGAGATATGCTCATAGACAGAATCAGGAATGCATGTGATGAAATAAGGCCTTATTTGAATAAAGCTATACCACGTTCGATCATTCGTAGATGTGAATTGTGTATTGAACAATTGGGTTTACATTTCGAGCAACCGCTTTAGATTTTGTATGTTTGTCCTAACTATCCAATAGCATTTTAGTTGTAAATAATTAATTTAATTTGTTAAAAATAGTATTGGAAAATTAAACAAATTAATATTCTGTTTTTTTGTGTTTATTTCGAGTTAGGTATTATTGCTGTGTTTAAAAACACAATCTATACGATCATCTTAATTACTTGTAATGCCCAAATCGAAAATGTAAAAAAAAATATTATTTTCCCATAAATAGTTAAAAATGCATCGAGCCTTAAAAATCGAAATATCTCAAAAACGGCTAACTATAACGAAAACTCATAGCAGAGCTATTTCATTTTAATACACTGTAGGTACAGTAGAGAGCGCCCTCTAGCGGCTACAGTAAAACTATGCCCATGGTTCGTTTTCTCGTGCCAAAAACCCTTGTATACCAATGTTCACTGTTATACATCAAATATTGTTCGAAATATTTAAAAAAAACTATTTTAGAAAGTAAATTTAAACACCCTGTATTTCGGAAGCCACGCATTTTTCGACCCATGTTTATATATACTTTACGCATTCATTTTAAAAGTTCTATCGAATCTTAAAGTTATGCAACAATAAATTGAAACACCCTGTATATTCCTAAAATCCGGATCAACTGGAAAGGCTAATTGTCTCTACTAGGTTAAGATTAAAATCATGTTATTTCCAACTGAATCCTTAATCTTTTATATATTTGATACGAATAAGTATTATTTATTTAATGAATAAATGTATGTTTCTTGTATTTTTATATTCATAGGCACTAGAATTTAAAACTATAGCGTAAATTTATCGTTTTTAGTTTTTTCTGACTTTACTTCAGGGAGTATGATAGTTACGCAATTTAGAATCACATATTTGCTTTCCCCGGTTTATAATGTTACTCACTGGTACTACGCTGATAATACTTACTGGTACTTAATGAAATTACCAAACAAGTCAGATACAATACGACGCACTCTCATATCAGCTTCAGGGTACACCGTGGTATCCCCATCCAGTTTATACCAAATTATATATGGCAGCTCTGCACAATGAGCCGCTTTACCTAGCCCTGAAATTTTCAATAACTTTAATCACTTAGCACCTTGCAGAGGTATGGTTGGATGATACAGGATGATAAGTGAATTACATAGTAAATTACGTGAAACACCAGCATTAGTAAGATGTAGTACCGCAGTACCTTAGTATAACTCATAACGGAAGGCTGAGCCAGACACTTGTGTAGTTAGCTAGCCTTTCCATAGAGCAAAGAGTGAAAAGCTCATTCGAAAACTTGCCACCAAATGCCAAGACACGTCAAAAGATTTGTCAAGTGCAACAATTTCAAAAACTACTCCACCTTCTTTCACCCTCTGCCCCCAGGGTCATCCCCTGCAAAAATTTTGAATAGCAGGCGATATCGAGTAACAACTTGTTTGAAAGGTCTTTCGAGGTCTTTTATTTTAACGTTTGATTTCTTGAAATCGGTCGATTCGTTTTCAAGAAAAAAGTGTTCAAAATGTTGTCCGTTATTGGCCATACAATGATATAGACGATATTCAAATGCCTGAGGAGCATTTTCAAAAACGTGTTGTGGAATATTCTGGCAGCTTTGAATGATCCATTGACGAAGTTCATCCAAACTTTAAGGTTGGGGAGTAAACACAATAGATTTCAAATGGCGCCACTCTTTAGCCACTCTTCGGCCTATCCATTTATCGGGAAACCAGTCGTTTAGCCTTTGCATCAAATTTATCTAGCTTAGTAACTGTGTGTTCAGAGCCTAATGAAATACCTGTCGCAACATCAATTTTGCGTAATGAAGTATTAGGATTTTTTCCGAAATGTCCCGAAACTTCAACTTGAATCAAATTGAATTAATTCTTCCCCTTAGCAACAAATAGCTAAAAAGGTATAACAATTAATTCGGTTCGGCCAGAATATCTGTGTTGATGAAAAAAATGCGGAAAAAAAATTCGCATTGTTTATGGTTGTTGCCACGCCTAATGTTGGTAGTTTCCGTTTTAAATTATAAACGAATTCTAGATTTGCCAACCCTAACGAGCAACATTTTGAACACTTATTGAAATTAAAAGTGATATTCTCGTATGTTTTTGATTTCCATCTGAACAAATTAAAATAAATAAATATTTTTATAATTTTCTCGGAAACTGATTTAAAAATGGACTGATTTAAAAAATCAAACGTCAGAACTAAACCCTTTCAGACAAGCTCTTAGTTGATAATCTTTGTCACTTAAGATTTTTTAAGGAATGGGGAGCCGAGGGTGGGGGGGTGAAGTGTCTCGGCGTTTTTTCTTTTAATCAGTGGTTTTCGATAAATCCGTGATGAACACCATGTAGAACAGTTGTGACTAGAATACCACTAACAACCACTGCTATCGATTCATGTATACTTTATCTGAAGTCACTTGAAATAGCATAAAAACCTTTGGTAGGCGCGTCCTTTGTAATTTCATGACGTATCATAGGCGTGCGGTCATTTATTTAGAACGATAATAATAATGTTTTTATATCACAATAAATGGATTTTACTATCTTCTTATTTTTTTGATTTGGGATAAAAAATACTTATATTGGGAGTTTAATTTATGTTGACTGAAAGTTAAGAAATGGAAAAATTACAGAATTCCAACGTTTGACATAGGCAAATATTTACATAGCAGGTAGGTATATAAAAAGGTATATAAAGACTTACATTATAGGTATTTATATATCATCCTCGCCTTCGGAGCTGTCGCTAGAGTCATCTTGTAGAGGAATTACAACGGGATTTACAGGAGGCAAAACACAATATTCATTTTCTTTTTCAATAATATGCCTAGAACACTGCTTCCATAGGTCTGTGGCAGCAATATGAGATACTGCATCTCTTATTGTGGCCAATAGCGATTCACTTAATTGAGGGGTCTGATTATGTTTTCTTACTTTTTTTTTAAAGCAGCCCAGACCAACTCAATCGGGTTAAAAGTGCAGTAATAGGGAGGTAGACGAAATACTTCATGGCCATTTTGCTGAAGCAGATTGTCAACAACATACTCTTTTTCAAATTTTTGTCTTTTAATAAGATCCAATAATATGGCTTTGGTTGATTTTTGTGGTATTTCCATTCCCTTATCCTTCATAAAATCAATAATGTCTTGTTTTTTTGTGCCTGTATTCGGAATTTTGTTTTTCTGTCGGGAATGGTATGGCGCATTGTCCATAATAATCACTGAATTTGGGGAAATGTTTGGTATTAACTGCTGCTCTATCCACTTTTCAAATAAGTCGGAGGTCATGTCCTCATGATAGTCGGCACATGATTCTTTGATATTTTTGGCAGATAACAGCAAGGCATTAGGTATAAATCCATTTTCACTGCCAGCATGGAGAATAATGATTCGTTTTCCACGGTTGCATGGTGCATTTAAAATGCACTTGTTGCTGTCGTCAACCCAGCCGTACTGCACAGCATCATGGGTATCATACCACGTTTCATCCAGGTAAATCAGATTTCTTTTCTGCTCTCTATAGATTTTAACTTTGTGCAAAAATTCTTGGCGCAATTCAACGATTCGAGACGACTCCATAATAACCATTCTTTTATCTAATTTTTTGTATTGAAAACCACACAGTTTTACAATACAGTGCAGTGAGTCTAAGCATTTGTAATTATAAAAATCTTCAGGATAATCTTTTAATTTATCCCGTATCATTTCCGACGTGGGCACCAAATTTGCTTTATAAAATCCATATATTATACGACGAATATCTTCCTGAAAACCCACGTCTATTCTTTTTAATTTTTGCCCTATGCGCTTTCTGTGGAAGGAATGGTTGACTACATCTCCCCTTTTTATAACCCGATAAATGGTAGACCGACTGATTTTTGTCAGGATACAAATTCTGTTTAAAATTTGATTTTGCGAGGAATCTGGATTTTTGTTTTTCAGACAATCATACATATTTAGGATTACTCTTTGGGTCTGTTCCTCTAAATCTTTACGAAAGAATTCTGCCTGCACAGGTTCATCAATCATCTCGTGGCTTGGAGCATTTTCCCAAGGTCTCCAAAGAGCCATATTTAGGACACACAAGAACAACCAACACAACAATTAAATCAACAAGTAAACTGAGTATTCAAAAGTCAAAAACACACAAACTAATAAAATCTATGAAAAAACACTGTCAGACTAAAGAAAACACGTTTATTCACCGCTACACGGCACTGGCTAAACTGTTTCAATTTTCAGTAGCCACCTGCCACTTGTTCGGAGCTCTGAAATACACGCTTTCTCATTGGCTATGTCCACCCATAGCCGTGCTTTACTCCACGTGGACCGGTGAAACTGCCTTTGATCTTATACGGGGGATATTTGCTGCGAAATTTGGCGATTTTTGCAGCAACAGAGCGTGTTAAATATAGATATATAAAACGCACCCGGTATTTCACAGTGTTTCAAGTGACTTCAGATAAAGTATACTAGTGTACTTTTTCACGCTGGACACGGATTTGAAATCAATCGCTTGTGGGAACAAGGACCTACGCCACATTTGAATAAAAAATGATAGATAATTTGAAACGTCTAGGACATACGTTCATATAAACATTTTTTAGATTTAAAATGGACCCAAAAATCTCCACTTTGAATACTGACATTCATCTAGGAATTTGTTTTATGAAGATGCGTCATACCTTTTGGATCCTGTCGCCACCAAATTGAACATACCGCTACATTTTAATCGGAATTGCGCAGAAAAGGTGATTTCAGGATCAACATAAGTCTTATACAGGGTGTTTCAGTTTATTGTTGCATAACTTTAAGATTAGATAGATTATGAATGCATAAAGTCTATATAAACATGGGTCGAAAAATGCGTGGCTTCCGAAATACAGGGTGTTCAAATTTGCTTTCTAAAATACAATATTTGATGTATAACAGTGAAAATTGGTATACAAGGGTTTTTTGGTACGGCAAAACGAACCATCGGCATAGTTTTACTGTAGCCGCTAGAGGGCGCTCTCTACTATACCTGTAGTGTATTAAAATGACCGAAAATGTTTTCTTAGTGCAGTTTTGTGCTTTTTGAATAAAAAAACTGATTCTTCGCACTTTTCAACATAAAAAAGCTCTCTTGTGAATTTTCGTTATAGTTAGCCGTTTTTGAGATATTTCGATTTTTAAGGTTCGATGCATTTTTAATTATTTATGGGAAAATAATATTTTTTTTTTACATTTTCGATTTGGGCATTACAAGTAATTAAGATGATCGTTTAGATTGTATTCTTAAACACAGCAATAATTCCTAACTCCAAATAAACACAAAAAAACAGAATATTAATTTGTTTAATTTTCCAATATTATTTTTAACAAATTAAATTAATTATTTACAACTAAAATGCTATTGGATAGTTAGGACAAACATAAAAAATATAAAGTAGTTGCTCGAAATATAAACCCAATTGTTCAATACACAATTCACATCTACGAATGATCGAACGTGGTTTAGCATTATTCAAATAAGGCCTTATTTCATCACATGCATTCCTGATTCTGTCTATTAGCGTATCTCTTGTGGTTACGGGAGTCTGGTACACTTTTTCTTTTAGAAATCCCCACACAAAGAAATCTAATCGATTTAGGTCAGGGGATCGTGGAGGCCAGGCGACTGGTCCTCCACGGCCGATCCATCTTTCTGGATAATGTTCGTCCAGCCAGTTTCTAACTATTCTCGAATAATGAGCTGGACAACCATCAAGCTGGAACCAGGCCAATCTTCTTAAATCTAGCATAACATCATCCCACATATTTGCATCTTCAGCCTTTAAAAATTCCAAGAAGGTCGCAGCATTTAACCTTGCAGGCAAAAGGTAGAGTCCAAATAGTCGATTACGGTAGATACCATTCCACACGTTCACACTAAATTCATGCTGAAAATTTCTTTCCCGAACTGCATGCGGATTTTCATGCGACCAAATATGTTGATTATGAAAATTTACCACTCCACGTCTAGTGAAGCATGACTCATCGGTCCATAAAACGTTACTTAAAAACTCCCTATTATTATCAGTTCTATCAAGAATCCACTGACAAAATGTGATTCTTGGTTCTCCGTCCCCTGGCTGTAGTGCTTGCACAGGTTGCAAATGGTAAGGACGTCTATGGTCATTTCTAAGAACACGGTGAACATGGCTTGCTGAAATTCCCAAGGCACCAGAAACTCCCCTAATACTTGTGGTCGGATCACGCAGAATCATACGGGTAAATCTGCGCTGACGAACATTTATGTTTTGATCCCTTTGGAGATTTCCAAAACCATTTTCAATTATTTGGCGATGCACTCTTACAAATACTGAGCGAGTTGGATGTCGTCTGTTTGGAAATCTTCGTGCGTATTCTCTGGCTGCTTCTGCTGCGTTTCCATTTACAAAGCCATACACAAAATGAATATCCGCTAACTCTTGATTGGAGAATAAAAATGGCATTTTTATAAAACTTACAAAAAAAAACAGGTAAAATAAACTAAATTTCGTGCATTCACAATTGCAAAAAAACGTTTCAGGTTTCAACAGACAACAAAACTAACTGGCAACTAATTGGCTTTTAACCTTATTCTGCTTTCAATTTCAAAAATATTTGCAGGCACAGCCTACTTCTAAAAATTATCGAGATACTGACTTTTTAACGTTATTTTATCATAACTGATCAAAAATGCATCGAACCTTAAAAATCGATATATCTCATAAACGGCTAACTATAGCGAAAATTCACAAGAGAGCTTTTTTATGTTGAAAAGTGCGAAGAATTCAAAAAGCAAAAAATTGCACTAAGAAAAAATTTTCAGTAATTTCAATACACTACAGGTGCAGTAGAGAGCGCTCTCTAGCAGCTACAGTAAAACTATGCCCATGGTTCGTTTTGTCGTACCAAAAAACCCTTGTATTCCAATTTTCACTGTTATACATTAAATATTGTTCGAAATATTTAAAAAAAAACTATTTTAGAAAGTAAATTTAAACACCCTGAATTTCGGAAGCCACGCATTTTTCGACCCATGTTTATATAGACTTTATACGTTAATTTTAAAAGTTCTATCGAATCTTAAAGTTATGCAACAATAAACTGAAACACCCTGTATATCAATATTCTGGTGAATAATGTCAATGTGGCTTGGGTTCTTTGTTGCTCCAAGCCTTTAATTGAGACGGTCATTGCAAAAGTCTCGAATGTCACACAATTTTAACTGTTTAAGACATAAAATAAACTGTATCATTGACAAATAAACAGGATTCAAAGTATCTTTCTGAGCTTAATATTGTATTTGAGTTTTGAGAAATTGTAATTTCAAATAACCATCGCAGTTTATTATCAATGAAGGTAATGGAAAAAAATAGCGTCAAGTTAATAAGCGATTAGGTTCGGCACAAGTTGGCCTCTGACAAACAAATTGCCGGATCATGTTAGTCAAATAGGCTCATACAATTGAAATTTGCATATTTAGCATGTTTTTCTGTACAATTTTATAAATCTGTAGGCTTTTACATAAAGTTATCTCTTGCCACTCAGGGTCGAAGCTATGTTTACATGTGGCGTGGATGACGATCAACGGTCCACATACAGTCGAGCAGCTGAGACCGACTGCTACACACATGCATGGGCATGACCGCAAAGCATACGATCCACGTGCGATTTAAATTTTCTAGGAATAAATAAACGGGGAAATCTATAATGAGTGAAATATGTCTAATAGCGGTGTGGAATTACCGCGGCTGGCGGCCTATAAGTGTACCAACGTCAAAAATTTCCAAATCACTACAGCTCCCATCCCTCGATTTTTCTCCCCTAAAATTTTTTTCAAGAATGACCAAGATCCCCCGAAACCCCAAAAAGTGAAATTTGAGCGATCTCTACTTTTATTTGCCTACTATTGGGAATTATACTTAAAATGTTAAGTTATGATCATGTCATATGTTTTAATTTTGCATGTTTCAATATCTTTCAGCTACATAGGAGAAACCGTGGCAAAGCAAACGTCCTGGAAAAATCAAATTTCTCGTTTGACATCCCATTCGTTCAATAATCGGCAATCGGTTACGGAGGAAAGCACATGCTTATTTGACTACCAGACAGGAAAATGTATTTTTTCAACAAAAACGATAGGTGTTGTATCTTTACTACCGTGCAGATTTTTAATACATCTTGCGTATCTTTAAAGGCCTTTCTGAATCATACAAATGAGCGTTGAGTAAGCGATTTCGTGCAAAGCGGAAATCGCAAACTGGATATTCTATGCTCGCATTGCCTTATTTCTGTAGTTAGTGATTTTCAAGTTCGTACTTTGGCGCATATCAATTTGAAAATGAAACAATCGAAGGATCGCGGTACTGTGTTTTGGAATAACTCATTCAAGTCCTCGCCGTCGAGTAATGCATGCAAAAACCAGAGTCCCGAACTTGCGTTGTTCATGCAATTATGTTCCGGCCTCGACTCGTAAATAGAACAGGTGTAGTCCCCCGTTTCCCCGCCAAACTCGCTGCTGTTTGCAACGAGACCTTGACCTAATTACGTCGATTACGCGGTGCTATACAAAGAATAGGTTATTTGAAATCATAAGCTAGTGGTGTGACCCAATAAGGATAAGGTTGTCAATCCTGAGTTACTTACCTTCCATTTCTACTATGGGACCAGCCTTGTTTTCTATTGCACCAAAAAAAGAATACTGGTAGAAATAAACGTCAACGTAGGGTGAAACGAGATCAGCAAATTTTATAATTCTGTTACTGAATCCCACGTCGCTATATAACTGTAACAGAAGTACGTAATGTCAAATGGAATTCGCCCCAAAATTAGACATTAGAGTATCATAAAGTTATTTATTGAAATCAGGCTTCGCGAAGCGGCATCTGCCTCTAAAATCGACCACTGCAAACAGTGAATCAGCCAACTGGTTGGGACTGAATCCCAGTTCGCGGAATGCAGGGCCATTCATCACGAGACCGCTATATGGCGACTATACAGGGTGGCGCATCGAAAACGAAACAGAAAAGAATAAACATGCTCTGCTTTTCGTCTGTCCAACCATGGTCAGCTACTTCATACATAGCAACTATACTCTATCCAAAGTACGTGATCTACCTAAATAACACAATGTGACGCTCTATTTACCACTAGAATCGATCACTACGGACAGGGAATCGCAGATGGCGACTCACGCTCTTTTATTTAGATATATCACACACCTTGGATAGTGAATAGTTGCTATGCTTTCATCTGTTGCTAGAGAGACCCAAGCCTAGACCATGCCAAGGAGTAACCCAAAAGCTCGAAAGGGCTCTCGATGGTCAAACGGTGAAGCATTGCGTGTTTATTTTGTTCCATAACAACTAGACCACATCCACCACACAGCTATAATCGTCTACTTCTATTGATCACGTGGTGAATCATATACGTTAGATAAAGCATGTTAATTAAAGTTACTTGTTCTCTTTTTTCCTTTTATTTTCTTCTTCATTTGAAAAGTTGTGATTCTTTATTATCCAGTCACAGCAAATCATACAAACCAACGATTTGAAAATGTTTCTTATGCTGTTGAAATTTTACTGAAGAGATCTCGTACTACAAACTTCATTAACGAAGAGAAAATGCTTCTGCTGAGTGTTACTCAGAAATGTAAAATCATTTAATAATGAATAAGGTGAAATTTGTATTTTCTCGTCATGTTTACCAGCCATCTGTTGTCTGGAAATACACTTGTCACTAGTAGATTCATCTGGGCATACCCCAACAATTCCAGAGGAAACGGGTCAACCTGGTCGAATTCTCCGTTCATAGTTGGTTCCATAATTTAAAAAGGAGCTACCAAATGACCAGGGTGCTTTGTAGACATTTGTAGACAATTCTGTCAGACAGTACTAAATGTCAAAACCCTGTTTCAAATTGTAACAAACTGTTAAAGCAGAACTATATTCTCTCGCAGTATTGTCAATAAATGTATCCATTCTTAGAAATATTAGTAAATTTCAAAGCTGTCAAGATGACAGTACGTTTAGATTTATGAACTCATAGTTAAACATTGACGGTGCAAGGCTACTCTAACTTAACCTAAGTTACCCGTAAATTCGGGTTAAGTAATCCGCGCACTCAAGTCACAGCGGTGAAAACCACTGATTGGCCTAAAAAAGAGTGTTCAAGCTATCATAGCCAGTAAAACATCGGGGCTTACTGGTACTGCTATATTCTCAGCACGTCATACTACCATAGGTCATGCTTAACACCGTAGGTAGCCAATCACTCAGACTTAGTTCAGATCATGCGCGTCCACGTGGTGCGGGGTTGTTGAGTCAGTGGTCAAATTGCTCGCGTACAACTTTATTTGACTTGGGATTAAAAAATAAATTGCATTTCAACATTGCCACTGTTTTTTTCTCTACAAAATGGCATAATTAGAATTTCACGCTTTGTCTCTTGTACTACAGCATCAACTTTGTTTTTTTTTATTTGACTTGATTTTTACTTCAAAAATGTATGTCATACACTGGCATTTGTCAAACCTTAGTTACTCCAAAGAAACAGAAGCTCCTAGGTAGGTCTTGAAATGATCAGATTTCATTTGTTCCGTATAGCAACAGGGTTTGGAAGACAGAAGAGGAGAAATAAATCGAGCAGTAAACAACGTACAGAGAAGAGTAAACTTCGCCTACAAAATAACGGACAACATTTTGAACATCTGCTATGATTTACTTCTGCTTATTTATGATTATTAATTGTTGTTATTACCATAAATAAAATTTTCATTTTGTGTTCAGGTTTTACCATACCTTTTTATTTCCTTATAATTTTCATCCAACAACAAACTCATGGTCGATTAAGGATTGAATTTAGTACTGAAAGGTACCCTTAGATGTACATAATTATAATATAGCGTCCATATGGGAAATCAGATTTGCTGATGGAAGTCAAAAGAAGAAATGTCGAATTGAGAATTTGACTATGTCATCTTGTGAAGGAAAATAGGTAACAATGACAACAAGAAATTTATTTTGTAATCCCAGTAGTGATTTTAGGGTAAATCACGTATGCGAAACAAATGAAATTCTGCTTTTTTAAATAACTAAGGTTTGGCAACGTCAGCGTATGACGTGTTATAATTTTTTACTTGTGGTCTCATTTTGTAGGACTCATAAACACCTAAAAATTTTATATGAAGAGTATTTTCATTTCTGTCAACACTTTCGATTGAATCTCAGAAAACACGTCTTCTCATTCTTTGTTGTCGAATAAAAAGTTTTCCCACAAAAATTGGAGTACTGATTTTATGCCTCCATGTTTTAAATACCCACTGGAACAACTTTCAGCAATAGAACCAGACTTTACAATTATTTCGTCTAGTATGATAATAATTATTGTGTAATACCTATCATTTTTGAACCTACTGAAAATAACCTTTTGTAAAAATTCTAATAAAAGTAATTTACCTCAAAGTTTGGAAAAATTCGGTGAACGGTAACCCGTGTCGCAGCCAGCTAGAAATTTGTATGTAATATTTTCTTATAGCGATAAACTTAAATCGAAAGGTGCTGTTTTCCTCTTTTCTCAGAATGTGTTATTAGTGTAAATTACCTTATATTAAATCAGCCATCCACAGCTCTAAGTTTTTTTGTCAAGAAAGTTACACTTTGAAAAAATATTAATTTCAAACTTTTCGTTTCGACTCTGTACATGCATATTTGTCAATTGAGTTGCAGAACAACAAATCATACCTTAGTCCGGCCCTGTAACGAACTCGGCGTTCTGGAGTCCGATCACATGAACTATGAGTGAATCTGTTTAGATTTAGTTTATTTCTTCGTTACACGGACAATAGTATTAATTCTCTGGGTTTTTATTCGCATGCGCGTCGAATGCACGTCATTTGATCTCAGTCTTAGATAGCCAATACGGTACATAAATAAGGTTCTGTAACTGAACATACGAATACTAACTTTTACCGCAGCTGACAAATTTTTCTCTAATTTTCCCTCAGTGTATACCCTTATCATTTTCTCTCCTAGTTCTTTCTTTTCTCTTTCTGTTAAGCCTTCCACTTGACGGTAAAGCAGTTCGGGATGATCGTCTATAAGTTCTATTCTGTCTTTCCAACCTCCTAAAATACAAACAATGGCTTGAGTTGTTTGTTTAAAATCAACGATAGCCAGCCTCCAGGCACATATTTCCAGGCAACAAGAGCTTTCATTGCTTGTAGTTTTACAACAATCGACGGTCTGCTTAATCTTTGAATGAGTGAATATGGAGAACTGAATTTCCGGTAATCAAATTGTTATACGAATACTATGAGTACATTTTAGAATAAAAACTTGAAAACCTATGGCGGCTGAGCGCCGTTTTGGAACATTTTTTAAATGGAACGAGCTTATTTCAAATCTCCTGATAAGTAAACCACAGAGATTATATCACTAGCTTTTTAAATGGCTGTCTTTGAGTGTTTCTGTACATTGAGTCGCAGGAAGCAATCCTCAAAGCTCTATTATATTACATGTAAATATTCAATTCAAAGAAAATGTTATTACTTGTCATTTTTTTAACAGGATGTACCATATTTTATTGCAGATCTGATAGAGTCTTAAAAAATAATTCCAGTTTCCTAGCTTGACCTGTTCATAAAATAAGTTTGAAAGAAATGTCTATTGACAGACTTGCGCCCAGAAGGTCTTACCGTCTTTTAGTTAAACTGCCAGTTGCAATAAGGCTACCTTAGCTGACCTTAGCAACGTTGATTAAACAACATTTTGTACGAAGTACCACAGACTGGACTTGTAGGCCGGTCTTCTTCAGGGAAAGTTCAGATATTTGCCGACGGAAAGGAAAAGCAATGTGCTCAGTCAAGGTAAAGCAAACAATGACAGATTTTTTTACCTATTAGTGCACCTTCTTCAGACGTAATTCCTACCATAACTGGCACCTTGTTGAAAATGCCTTCTCGGAACTTATCGTCTGGATACCCACTAAAAAATACATTTTCATCATCACTAGGCTCCATTACTGGTTTCCATATCAGTTCGTACTCAAAACCAATGACCACTCTGGTATCGTGCTCGGGATCTGGCTGGAAAGTGTAACATAGAAATCATAGTTAATCAAGGTATATCTGAGTCGTTGAAGCTACTACTGATTGTATACGAGGGATGTCTTTTAAGTTTTGCATATGGAAAATAAAACAACACGGTATGTAGTTTTAAATGACTTTTTTCGAAGTACTCTCCATGAAGATTAATACACATCAGCATGCGCTAGAACCAATTTTCGAATCAGTTATTCCACTCGTTTGCTGGCAGAACCAAAACGGCATTTTTGAATGCGTCAACTGCTTCTTCTGGGGACTGGAACCTTTGACCACGCAGTCTGTTTTTAATTTTCGGGAAAGTAAAGGAATCGTTAGGACTATATGGAGAATGGTCCAATAATCCCACGTTTTCTTCGGTTAAATACTGCCTTATTTTTTGGGCTGTGTGCGAGCTTGCATTGTCTTGGTGGAGGATGATTCTTCTTGGGGGTTGATTTTTCGAAGCTCGGTGACGACTTTTGGCAAACAAATGGTGGTATACCAATCCACAGTAACAGTCCTTTGCTCATCAAGAGGAATTGTTGCAATATGACCCGCTTTTGACAAAATTTCGCGACCATCTTTTTTGAATTGCGGTCTTTGAGATCTTCAAGGACGCCTCAATCTCGCGATATGTCACATGTCTATCTTCAATGATGAGTTTGCGCACAGCATCGACGTTTTCCTGGATGACTGCCGTTTTTGGTGCACTCACCCTGGGATCGTCGCTAAGACTCACCCGTCCACGTTTGAATTCTCCATACCAACGGGAAATTGTCGACTGATGTGGCTCTTCGTTGCCGAAAACAGACAGTAACTCAGCAAGGCATTCTTGTTGCGATAATTGTCTCTGGAAGTTGTAATAAATTATGGCGCGAAAATGTTCTCGGTTGAGTTCCATTTTTCTAATGACTTGGTGACACTTAAAAATTCACTGTAGTGAGAACACTGCACGTATTGTCGTGAAACTTTGAATTTAAGTTTACTAAAGATTGAGGTTAAGATTCAGTACTGACGTTCGATCCGCGCGGCCTACTGTGTTTCTATATGCGAAACTTAAAAGACATCTCTCGTAAACAACGCGAACAAGTGTACAGATTGGATATTATTCTAGTCGGGTATCAAAATTAAAAGAAGTAACGTAAGCAATTGCACTGTCTTGGATCTATACTGTATGTTACACGCAGTAATGATAATTGGGCACTGACGTTATTAGCCGTGAATGCCCATTACGGACGTGAAATGGTAACGTCATCATTCTAACGTCCTTGCCCAGCCATTCACATTAATGACCAAGAATTTAATAAACCCACATTCAGTATGTAGAGAACCAACAACCACCAGTATCAAATATTTACCTATGATTCTTAATCACGCAACGAATATAAAAAAGGATATTGTAAGAACCTTATTTGTCAGAGCCAAACAAATACCGTCACATCAGTCAATCTTCGATAGAGAAAAATATTTTCCTGAAAACATACTTTGAAGTAACGGTTATTCTCTTGGATTTGTTATATCTCGATTTATTTATTGTTGGAAGCCTTTATGGCCTCCTTGATTTTCATAGACTCCTTTTCTCTCCTTTAGAGGGGCTGGGCTATTTCTAGATTTCTACTGTCTCGTGTCAGATTCAGCGCTCGCCTATTATGAGGTTATCTTTCCTTTATAACCTCAACGGAACAGTAGAAGGAGGCCATTTAGGCGTCCTACAATTGTAGGAACGACTGATGATAACTTTTTTTTCAAGCTCATTAATGTGGCGAACTAATTAATATATAAGTTAGACTACTAGCTATCTACCTTTAACTAGCTCTAGAACTTTCCGTCAATTTCATTAATTTCCCAGTCGAGATAAATTGCTGCTGTGTAATCTAATATTTCCTGAGGTCGGCCAGATTTGTGGAGCTAATTGGTGAGATCCTTCCATCATCTAACACTATTTTGCGGCCGAAATACCAAATTGACAATTGTTGACAAATTCATTCTGTCAAAGTGAACTTTATGAGATATTGAATAAGGAGTGTTCATATGCAATATGACCAAAAAGAAGAAAAATGAATGCGAAAGCGAAACATTAGAACCAAATAGAGTACCAAAGAAACTATTGTCAAAGAGAATTATTATCTTAAACAGCTTTTGGAAGAAAAGGAAAGATTTATATATCAGTTGGTAAATGAAAACCGTAGACTACAGGAAGCATTTGACTTGATTTCTGCCAACATAGTAGAGAAGGAATCCGTTGTATCTACTTTGGCTATTGTAACTGATCAACTAGAACAACTTGAGAAAAGAACGTCAGAGAATACATCATACTCACAAATTTTAAAGCAAAATACTCCTAAAATCAATAGCAACAACAAGAACATAATGACACCAGAGAAGACCTAACTAGTAACATTAATCTAGCAAGTATTGAAGTCAAGATAGAGAAAGTAAATAATTATAAAAACGGCGGCGTCGAAATTCAAGTTGAGCAATGTTATTACCAGAAACTCAAAAATGAACTAGAAACTAAGTTGAAGGGAAAATACAATATATCAGGAGCATGAGAAATGAGACCGAAAATTAAGATCATAGGCTACAAAACTAAGAAAAAACTTTCAGAAGCAGAAATTAAAGAAGAAATCATATCCCAGAATACATTCATTAATGAAAACGAAATCGAAATCACTTTTGTACGACACATACCATTCCGAAATTCTTATACTCGCTGAAGTTTCTGGAGAGCTATATAGAGACATATTTATCAATAAGAAATCAATAATACTACTAGGTTGGCAAAACTTATTTGTCTATGACAATAACCAGATATCGCAGTGTAGAAAATGCTTGAAGTTTGGTCACACAGACAAAAAATGTAGGGGCGCGGAAATCTGCATTAAATGTGGACAAGCACATAGAAGTGAAATTTGTACTGTAAACATTTTAAAATGTTCTAACTGTATGACCTATAACGTTAGCATAATAAGAATAATCATGTTGGTCACTCGCCCACAGACAAAAAATGCCCGTCGTATTTATATTTTCAAAAACAGTATTCATCCAGAATAATGTTTTGAGCGTTTAGTTCTTTTTACGTTTTTCGAGCTACATATCATTTGCAAAATTTTACATGGATAGCTACGTAAATAATTTTCAGGTTAATGATATCAATACAAATATTGCTCAAGACGCAAATGCTCTTAATAAATGGTTAGAATATTCTAATTTCAATGTTAGCTTATATCACATGAATATACGAAGCCTAAACCAAGATTTTCACTATTTTAATATCTTCCTAACTACAATTAAACACAAATTTGATATAATAATATTAACAGAAACTTGGAAAATTAATGATGTATCTTTGTTCTGTTTGGAAGGTTATGATACGCTTTACAATAATGGTACGTACAACCAGAATGATGGGGTGGTAGTATATGTAAGAAATGATATCAACTACAGATATGATTTTGTTAAATTTGATGACGGTATCACAGTGTTGGATTTGATATTGAGAATTAATAACAAAAGTGTAAAAGTCACATCTGTCTATCGACCACCATCATCAAATCCTTATACATTTGTAGAAAATCTTGAAAAATTTTTGTTAGATAACAAAAATGCCATACAGTCACACCACATCATAATAGGAAATACGAATATTAATATACTCCAACATACCAAATTAGTAAACAAATACCTCACTGTAATGCAAAGCAATGGATTCATATCAAATATAAATTTACCAACAAGAGTAGTCAATAATAGTTCCAGTTCTTGCATTGATCATTGTTTGTTGTCGATCACTTAGCTAACAAAGACGTTCAAGAAAAGCCAAATATTGATGAAATTAAGAATCGTGATGGAACAATATTAACAGATAAATGACAAATATCCGATGCATTCTTAAATTTTGTCACTAATGTTGGAGAAAATTTAGCATCTAGTATTAAAAAAATGGGTTCGAACGAAAAGTTCACAAAAACCCAACTTCCCAATTCATTCTTTTTAGAAAGCGTTAGTCCGATTGAAGTACAAAAAGCTGTCCTATCACTTAAAACCAAAAAAAGTCCTGGTGTAGGTGGTATCAAAGCTGACCATTTAAAAATAATAACCTACGACTTAGTCGAACCACTTTCTTAGGTCAATAATTGGTGTTTCCAATCTGGAATTTGTCCTGATGCATTTAAAACAACTGTTATTACTCCTGTTTATAAAAGCGGTGACAGAATGGAAACATCAAATTATAGACCCATATCAGTACTATCGAATATAGCCAAAATTTTCGAAAAATTACTACAAAAAAGGATATTACAATTTTTAGACAAAAACAAAATTATATGTTCTGACCAATATGGATTTAGAAAAGGAAAATCTACTACAGATGCAATTTTGGCTGCAATGGATGAAATTAACTCTAATGTCAACAAAAAGATACCTACTACTGGTATCTTTGTTGATCTAAAAAATGCCTTTGATACGGTTAACCATGTCGAGCTTCTGAAAGTTATGGAAAGATTGGGATTTAGGGGAGCGTCACAAATCCTTTTAAAAAATTACCTTTCAAGTCGGGCACAGACTGTCAAAATCACTAACACTTACAGTAAAAAAATGTACATCAAGTGTGGTGTGCCTCAAGGAACAGTACTAGGCCCACTATTATTTAGTCTCTACTTAAATGACTTATTCAAAATTAACAGTTCTGGAAAGATTATATGTTTTGCATATGACACCCTCGTATTATATAAAGCTGATGACTGGAGCACACTGAAGCAAATAGCTGAAAAGGATTTTATAAGGATCATTGACTGGTTTGATACTAAAATTTTAACAGTTAACTTCAAAAAAACAAAATTTATTGCATTTACATCCTAATCAAAATTTTTACCTACCTTCGAACAAATTTCCGTTAATTATCATGGCCAAAAGACCAAAATCGATAGAGTTAACACTTTGAAATATCTTGGAATATTTATAGACTCACATCTAAGGTGGGATAACCATATTAAATATGTTATCAAAAAAATTAGAAATGTCGCCTATAAACTCAAAATGAAACCCATATAATATACGGCATCACAGCCTGGAGTGCCGCCTGTAAGACATATATTTCTGACCTGAATATAGCACAAAAAACTGTTTTGAAAGCCATTTTCCATAAGCCAAGATTATATCCAACGAACAACTTATATCAAGAAACAGGGATACTTGATACAAGAAAACTTTATTTCTTACATGCCACCACCTTATACCATAAGTATTGTAATAAAAAGAAAAATCCTATAAACACGAGCATAACACACGATTTCGAATAGGCTCATCTAATATCCAAAGACCACACAAAACATTATTCAAAAAATCATTTAAACTCTTAGCAGCTAAATTATATAATGTGGTACCGAACGATATAAAGATACTTAATTTTGGAAAAAAATTTAGAAGAAAATTGAAAGACTGGGTTAGTAATGTGCAGCAAATGACTATACATAATTATATAGAAAACTAAAACTACAAAATTCCAATTACATTAATACCTTTTAGATTTAACAATAATTGTTATAAACATGTTTGATTGATTGTTAGTTATTAAGAAGTAAACCACACACAGGCGATGCCTTCTGTGGTTTTTTCATATTTATTTGCCCATTTTTTGTATTTTGGCGAATAAATATTATTATTATTATTATTATTCCACGGCTACTGCTATTTCAGCATAAAAGCGCGGCATTGCTGGACCGCTTCACGTTGGCTGAACGCTCTCAACGTTTTCACATCAAAATCTAATCACGACTCCCTTTTGGTTATGTCTAACTGTATGCAACATTTCACAAAAAAAATTCTTACTGGGTGTTCTATTTTTTTTTTGTCGCTTTGTACATGACTTACGTGTATCTTGGTGGTATCAGAAAGAGTTTTAGCAGGGACGGTCATGAGGAAGGCAAGTAACTCCTCCGAGGTATTCTGAGTAGTAATGCTTGGATTGATAGTGTTAGCAAGCTTGTAAGCATTGTACTTGGGATAAGGCTGAAGATAGTCCATGCCTGTGATAGCACCGCTTTGGGCAATAACTCCGCTGAAAAGACCTGTAAAGTAATCCATATTCGCAGATAACTCGTTTACAAAAAATTAGGAGAAAATTTACAAGGTGAAACTTTTGGACTATACTGAAATTATTTTGTCTTTGTTAATTTTCGAAACACGACCAATGTGGAGCGATTAAAATGTTCTCAAACTAATATTATCAAATATGACACGATAATCTTATTAATCTACAAAATCTGTACAAAAACAATTAAACTCCCTCCTCAGAGACTTTCAAATACTGCTTACGGCAAAAGACAGGCGTACATATTTCACAACTTGAGTCCATAGCCCCGTTCCCTGAAAGACCTTATACTACTTTACTCCAATATAGAAAAGGCAAATGACCTAAGAAGTCGTACAAAGCTTGGAGAATGACGTTCCTGCTAGTATTTAAAATAGTTCTTGCAGATTCAGAAACAGAAAAATCCTTGCCACATATCTAGGAGGTAACCTGCATAATACCAGTATTCCAAGCAACAAGGAACAATTTAAAGATAGATAGTGACGCTGTTTCCAAATCTATAATTGGGTATTCATGAAAACTGTAAAGGCCGCTTTTACCCGCAGATGTAATGGATTTTTCTAGAAACATTTTGTGAGTATGGCCAAGCTTCTAGGAAGAGGTTTCTCTCTTGTGTACATCAAGAGCTTGAATATAGAACTGTACCTTTAGAATGTTTGCTGAGCAAATGCGCTGTGGCAAAAGCTCCACCAGAGCTGTGCCCGTTTATGGTTACCTTCTTGGGATCACCTCCAAACCTCTCAATGTTTTTCTGCACCCATTTCAATGCCATGTTCTGATCCCATAGTGCCAAATTTCCCGGAATCACCCCGTCGTTTGTAGTTAACAATCCTGTGGAGCAAAATACCCTATTGACTTTCACACAAAGATTATGTTAAGAGTGCTTATTTATTTTGAGAGATTTCGTGTTAAGATATGTCAAGATCTGCATTTACTAGCGACATGGACTCGTGGACACTGTCGACATTGAATACACACTCTCTTCCAGATATCTTATGAATCCGGCACCTTTCCAGAAAACTCGAAATTTGCTCACGTCCAACCCATCCCAAAAAAAGGATCTAAGACCGACTCTTACAACTACAGGCCTATAGCTCTGCTTGCTGTTATAAGTAACGTGATGGTGAGGTGCATAAATCGCGAGCTTCTGGACCACCTCGAACGTCGCAGCTTGATTAGCGTCAGGCAGTACGGTTTCCGGCACCAACGATCCACAGGGGACCTCCTAGCTTATGTCACGCAATTGTGGAGTAAACTCATTAAGTATTATGGTGAGGCTCACGTTGTTGCTCTTGACATCGCGAAAGCGTTCGATCAGCTGTGGCACGCCGCCCTCTTGAGCAAACTTCCATCCTATGGCCCCCAGATAAGCTTTGCAGATGGGTGGCTGACTTTATCTCTGGCCGCAAGATATCCGTCGTAATTGATGGGTTCTCCTCTTCATCCCACAACGCCAACGCGGATGTTTCCCAGGGATCTGTCTTGGCTCCAACACTGTTTCTTTTACAAATCAACGTCCTCCTTTCCTGCACGATCAACCCAATCCACAGCTTCGCGGATGACAGCACTCTACATGCAGGAATTCAGAGTGACAAGCCGATCTCTGCCGCTGAGCTAGAAAAAAGAAGTCTAGCGACGACTTCCTCTCTGACAAGAGACCTGTAGGCTACCGCTGCTTGTGGACGCAACAGTCTTGAGCAGTTCAGTGCTTCCAAAACACAGTACTGTACTTTGATGAACAAAAAGCGTCCTAGCGCTCATCCAGTTTCGATAGACGACCGAGTTCTGCGAGAAAGTCGTTCATTTTGGCTGGTCGGAGTCAGATCACCGAGGGCTTGATCTGGCACGAACACATCTCGTCCATAGCTGCTCCAGAGGAGGGCGGTCCGACTGATCGATGACTCTTCTCTAACAGACAGTCTCGGGACTCTTTTCTGTCGATACACCAACGGGCTTTGCTCCTCAGAGCTCTCTTCCATGATGCCGTCGCGCGATGTGCCTGCCAGACAGACCCGCCTGACTTTGGCACCCCATCCTAACCGTGTCGGACTTCGTACAGCCAGAACTGGCTGATACGTCCGCTCCTATGTCCCGAGGGTGTCGAGATTGTGGAACAATCTACAAGAGGAAGCTTTTCCCAGTTCTACTAACCTTAGTCAGTTGAAAAATTTCTTTGGATCATCATAGCAGCCGCGGTGTTCCGGCATTTAGGCTTCTGCCTGCGCGGCTGCTTCGTTATAAAAAAAACGCAGCAAAAAAAACTGAGCTTACGTAGCCGTGAAGTTATCGTATAAATCTACAATGTAAAGTAAAACGATCAATGATCCCGAGCTATTTGGATCATATGAATAAAAATAAGCACTAGTAAATATCAGATACTATACTATAACTATCTGAAACTGTAATGACTCATTGATGTTCACGTGAACATCACTTAACTACCAGTAGTCGGGTGTTCATAGGCGGGGTATGAATGTTTAACATGGGTGAACTAGATTTGTCTCATGCTTAATAAAGAGTGGTTTGAAACATATTGTAAGTCAAAAATTTAGGAATTACCTTTATTCATCGTCGCTTCCACTTACATCTGACAGTAATAAACTGTCGCTATCGCTTTCCTCGTTGAAATTGACTATAACTGGCTCTATGATGGTGTCGATGTGGTGGTCAAGCTGCCACATTTTTGTTTCTTCCTTCACAACATGACGGATAGCATTCTGCCAAGATTCGGGCGTTACTAGCTGTATGGAAGTCTCAAGTAAAACCTTAACGTCTGGTAATTTGAAGGTTGTGTTATGGCGCGCAATATAACCCTTCACTTAAGCCCAGATGAGCTCTATTGGGTTCAGTTCACAGTGGTAGGGCGGTAACCGCAGCACAGTGACACCACACTGACGGGCCATCTCATCAGTCACGTAACTAATGTTCGCAGGTTTGTGTTGTTTAATTTTTTCATACAATTCCGCTTTCACACATGAATCGTCAAACGGGATTCCTTTTTCTCGCAACCATTGCTGCATGTCACTTATTCGAGATCCCATAGTCGGTACACGTTCGGCTCGACGACTATGGTAGGAAGCATTATCCATGACGATCACAGAGTTGGGCTCAACTCGCTGAAGCACCCCTTGAAACCAGCTCTCGAAGCAGCTGGCAATCATTTCGTCATGGTAATCACCTCCTTTCTTAGAGACGAAAATCAAGTCACACTCTTCTAAAAAGCCACTATCGCTACCAATATGAGTTACGATCGATCTTTGACCTTTCCCTGACGGTCCACGAAGACCTGTTGACAAACCTTCAATGCTTGCTTGTCGGTTACTCACTACGTTTTTGTCTAAACAGGTTTTTTTTAACTGTGTGACCTGCATTTACCATGTCTCGTCCAAGTAATAGATTTATCTGCTTTGTCGCCTATATTCAATCATTTCGCATAGGTATTTTCGACGCCAGGCGACTATTTCAGGTCTCTCTATCAATACTGACTTCCGATTACGCGTTTCGTAACGAAAATTAATTCCGTGCAGGGATTTCCTCATTACCTCGACGCTCATTTGGGGTATAATTTCATTTTCCTTGATCGCTGCATGTACAGCCTTGAGGGTTGGTATCTCATTCCTAAAGAAGAATGAATGTACGGTTCGCCTTAACGCCATTTTGCTATCGTCATCCAATTTAACGGCCTTTCGTCCCTTCAAATTAAACTTTGGATCAGTAGTAGCTCCAGTTTTCTTCTTTTCATGCACCACCCTGCGAATGGTCCACTCTAAAACGCCTGTCATACTTTCACAACGCGCGAGTGCATCTCCCTGCGACATAGTTCTGTTCAGATAATTGAACACGTTGAGCACGATTTCTTTCGCGTCCCAATGCGTTGCCGACGCCTATGAGTCTGTCGGTCGCGGCGCGTCTTTGATTTCATTGGTTCTACCGGCGGAGAAGAATCAGCCATTATTTCCATCTCTGTCTGTGCTGTTGACCACCGCAAAGCCACAGAAACGACATATGTCGTACGCTATACGGCTGTACTGGAAGGAAGCCGGGATCGAGCTCTGATCACGTGTTGATCACGCGTATGAGTCATTACAGTTTTAAATAGTTGTAGTATAGTTAGTAATGAGTTATGTTACCTAAGGGGCCCTGACGGAAGTTCATGGCTACCATTATAATATCCCTCTCGATAAAGTTGTATGGCTTCCAGCTGTTGAATGTACCGTCATTGAACGCGAACATGCCACCCGTAATGTAGAACATTACTGGTAATAATCCCTTGTTAGATGGACTCTGTAACATATCCCCGAGCGAGCGGGCCTACTTTACCATAATGTGAGAACTGTTGCAGTTCAGAAAGGCCCAAGTACAAACTTAAATGGTTACAAATTATGTTATAATTCATTTGAAATGTTATTATTAAAAATGGGAATATTGGTGGAATGTTCTTAAAACGTTATTGAGAAGCTGCTATACGGCGCTCCGACAAAGTACTAGTGGCTTTTTCCAATAATTTATTCTAAATAGAATGTTTCAGGTCATAACATACTACATGCATACCTTCGGAACATACACATTCAGATATAGGCAATCTTCATTTTGTCTTGGATCATCTTCTATGTCAATTATAGCCAAGTTCCAACATATTTTCTTGTTCTCTGTTGCGTCTAGGATTCCTTTCCATGGCTTTGGAGGTAAAGGCCTCTGCAACATGGAAGCACTGAAATCAATAGAACTGTCCCCTTTGCTCTCAGTTCTCATTTAGCTGACAGTACTGTAAAGGGTCCAAGATGTGACTTGTGGATTAACTAGTTCTGATGAGTTTTGAGATACTTCTCTAACAGGTGTATTAAAAGCAGCGAAATGTCTCTGTATTCTTCCATCCACACACACCCTCCTATCCTGTGCGGTCCCTCCACCAGCCCTGTTCCAGGCAACCTCAAACCCTTGAGGAGTGGGGGAAAGAGCAATCTGCTCCCTCCTCTCCCGCCCGAAGGCCTGGCGTGGCGCTGCGTGGTTCAGGCCGCTGCGCATTCCCCGAGTGAGTGCTGCAGAACGAGCTAACCCCGCTCCCAAATTTTGCCCCTTTTTCCAGAAATTTGACTCGATCGCGCACGCGTCGCGGAAGCACGTGGTGGACGGTTCTTCCAACTGTCGGTTCTCGACTTTTATGGACGGCCTCTTTCTTGGGGGTCCTGCGCTGGGGGCTTTCACCTAAGCCCCGCATTAAGGTTGCTCTTCCATCCAAGGTATTCTTAAATTAAATCAAGTTCAGATCTTTAACAACTTTGCAGGAGGAGTGTAGTTACGAGGATGGATTTGACCTTTTTTCAAAGTCATTTCAAGATCAGTCGTTGATCTTCAAGTAGCAAGCCCCCTTTCTGAGACCGGCAAACGAATGAACGGAAAATTTCAAGTTCAGGTATGTATTTTAAGCAGAAGTGTATGCAATCTTGCATTATGCATAGCGTTAAGAAGCCCTAGGGTGACATCTGCAGTGATCTAGAAATTCCAACAAGAACTGAACAACCTGGCAGAAGACAACAGAGCTACACTGATTTGGGTGCCGGGACAATCAGCTAACGCGGGAAATGAAAGGGCGGATGAGCTCGCAAGGAAGCGATTATCCACACCCTATAGACGCCCAGCACTTGCCTTGGAGGTGCCAAAAAGCATAATAAGGAACCTAGTCATAGGATGGGTAAGCACAGTGACTTTGGCACTTAGTGACTGCAACAAGACTGCGGAACTGCTCTCAATGAGAAGAAACCAACTCCGAGCAGTTTCAGGGCCTCTAATAGGACACAATGGCCTGAAAGGGCTATGCGATGGAGACCTAGCTGCAGACAATGCGGAAAAGTAACAGAATCAGCCCTACATGTCTTATGTGAGTGCGAAAACTGTATCATCTGGTTCAGAACACTAGACTGCTGGACTGGGTATTGTAAACTAGAGGAGCAGTGCACAATATAAGCCCTAGTATTTGCAGTGCCATCGGGGGCTTTGACCCGACGGCTCCCGGAAAAGAAAAATAATATGTATCACAATTTAATATCACCGTCCCCAAAAAAGGGTCAAATGAAGGTCAAATATGTGAGGCTAGGAAAGATTCAAAAAAGTTTGGCAGGACTATTGATGAGAAAAGTTATAAGATTATCAAGGATAGGCATTTTCACGAAGATCCTAGTCGTGACTTTGAATTCGTCATTGAACCCCACCTCCAAAGTCAGTTCAAGGTCAACTTTGTTTAACTTTGAGATCGGTAATACAGCAATACGTCCTAATACCTCCTTTTGTACTATAATGACTATGAAGGTGAGAGACTCAACGTCAAATCCAAGGTGAATTGAAGTCCCTGTTAAAAATTGCCAAAGGTGTGGCCTTGGTTACCATCTAGCCTCACACATTTAACATACATCTGACCATTATAGGTGACCTTGGTCTAAGATTTTCCAGTTTTTTCACTTCCATCGTCAAGAAGGGGGTTGTCCATTTCAAGAAAACAATCTGACCAATGTTGGGCTCAAAGTCAAAATCGAATATCACCCTATTCAAGACAAGCAAAGATCTAACCTTGGGCTTAACTGGAAAAACACTCCTCCTGAGAAAGAGAAGTACTGCATGGATAAGTATCCAAAGTCAGTGATCAAAAGGCTATATGTCTTGAACTGCCATAGATAATCTCTGTTTGCATACTGACCTTGAATCGCAATGATTCTACTGGTGGAGTTGCGTAAGGAATATCTAGGAAAGTATAAAACTCCAGCCCATTTGGTGTTTTCAGCACTTTCCCTTTGACATCTCCGTATATTGTGTTTGCGAATACACCGGCTGGTCCATCTACGATCTGCAAACGATAACAAAATGTTAATAAATAAAATAAAAAAATCATTTTCAATAACAAGCTTTTGTTTAGCTTCACATAAATTTGAAAATAATTATTCCGATTGGAAGTATTTAAATGACAATGAAGCCATCTCATCCCAAGTTTTCAAATAAGGGCATGACTATTTGAAAACTTGAGATAAACAAAGTTCAAAGCTTATTCAAATTCAAAAACCAATATAACTTACAAATTAAAAACAGCCTTCAGTACAATTTAAATAAAAAACGGTTTCAAAAATACATGAGCTTGTATGGTCTTGCTACCCTGAATAAGCAAGGTTGCAACAGAAGTCTAAGCAAAGATACTAGCATCAGATCTAGAACCAACAAGTAACGGTATATGAATTGTGAAAATTCTGTATACTTTCGTAAAGGGTAAATGTCTGAATCTTGTCGTCACAAATCCTAAATTAAGTGTCTGAATAAACAAATCTAAAATGCATAACAATAGTACAGAAGCATACTAAAAACACTCAGAAGTATAAACATAGAGTTCATAAAATAAGAATATCTGAAATATGATAATATAGGGATATTTCGAGTAAGGTCAAACTATGTTGTTTAGACAATAAAAATTTTGCCTAAAGGTTAAGCAGAGAAACAAGAGTACTACAATTTACTACAAAAGAATTTACTACAAAAGAATAGACACCTAAGCTATAAGCTTCTGTGTGTCATACAATATACAAATTCAATCCATTGCTAATGGTCATAAAGTATATTATGAGCAAATGTATATAAAAAAATAAATAAAAAAAAAACATTAGATCGAAACGAAATGACTGAGTTGAGTCAAGCGACAGTCGATGCAAGCATGTCAAAGTTATTTAAGATGAACTTCTTAATTCTTTTTTTGAAACTATACTTCGAGAGGATTTCATATTCTAGGGGTAATTTATTATACAACCTAATACCATCAAACTTTATGCATTTTTGGCAAACAGATTTATTCACTCTTTTATAAGTGTAACTTATATTTATTTTAGTTCTTGTTTCATAAGCGTGGCTGGTTGGAACTTTGTTTCTGGAGTGAACAAATTTGAGAGCAGCAAAAATGTATAAACCTCTAACATTCAAAAGATCATTTTCAATGTAAACAAATCTGCAACTTGACCTACATGGGATATGAAAAATAGTCCTGAAAATATAATTTTGCGTGGTTTGTAGTATTTTTAAAGCACTAGTGTATGCGGCTCCCCATATACTTATCCCGTAAGTTAGTAGAGACCCCACAAACGAGTTATATATTGAGAGAAGACTCTTTCTGCTTAAAATATTCCTAAGAATGAAAAACTTATGAATAATTCTCCTTAATTTCGATGCTAAAAGCTCGGCATGACTCTGCCATTTTAAATTACTGTCAACAGTGATTCCTAAGTATCTAATAACTTCAACTCTTTCGACAGTGTCAGCACTATCATTTATAATTAATGATCGGTGTTGTAATGGCATGTCTGCTTTGGTTTGAGAAAACGTTACATACTTAGTTTTAGAGATATTAATTTTAAGTAAATTGTTATCCAACCAGCATTTGACTTTATTTAATGGCAACTCGGCATTCCGAATTGCGTCATTCCATGAATGACCAGTGCAAACTAAAACAGTATCCTCTGCATATGATATCATTTTACAGTTGAAATTGCATTGAAGTAGTTCATTTATGTATATGAGGAACAGTGTTGGTCCCAAAACCATCCCCTGAGGCACACCTATTTTGATCTTTTGAATGCTGCTTAAATCTGACCCTACCTTAACTTGTTGTAATCGATCAGCCAGGTAGTTCTCAAATAAGTTCAGAACTCCACTACGCACTCCAACACTTTCTAGTTTCTTTAATAAAATTGTATGAGATACTGAATCGAAAGCCTTTTGAAGATCTAGGAAAACTGCAACAGTCTTATTTCCATCTTGAAAATTTTCAAGCACTCGTCCTGTAAGTTCTTGTAGAGATTGCTCTGTATTGCAATTTTTGCGGAACCCAAATTGACAGTTCGATATTACGTTAAATTATTTCCAATTGGCAAAAAATCTTTTTAAATTCTTAGTTAATTTTATGAACAGCTACATAAAAGGTTGCTTTTAAAACCGTGTTTTATGTCAAATAGCTAATTTGAAATTCCTATATGACTTTCATATATTTTATTACTCCATAACACTTTTTACTAGATTTGTATGATTGAATTTTGGTAGATATATATCGTATAATGGTAAATCGATATTTTTGCGGTGATCTCAATATGGAATTAAGAATCGCCTTGTTTGCTAATCGTGTCTCTCTCATGGTGGTGCGCACGTTAATTATAGATCGCCATTCAACAGCGGCCGCCACTAGAATGACGTCACTTTTATTTACTATGTTTTCTCATTAAGCTCTTTTATTTGAAACCCATGTAGAGATAGCAACACAACACAAATGATGACTGATTTATTCCTCAACCTCCACTGCACTTAGAAATTGAAAAAAGCAACAGCCATTCCGTAGTTTCATTGCTTGCAATTAAATTGTTAAGAAATGAATAACTTTGTAAAATCTGCTTACAAAATACCTTACAAGCTGCCTATTTTGTCATCAAAATTTTTGTAGGTGGGCATATTTGGAACTTTGACAAATGGTGAGACTGATACTGTTGCGAGAACTTTTTCTCTTATTTTCAAGCTGCGGCCAAATCGGTGGCACTAAAATTTAATAAAATCAAAATGACGGATTTTAAACGCAAACGTAATAATTCAACTTCAGATTTGTCTTGATGTCACAACATGAAGCTTCCTTCATGTCTGTAACTGTAGTTGGGTTTTTGTGTTCTTTAGAAATGTACTTGAATTTTATGACGGTCTGTTTGATCCTGGTTCTTATCACACAGATTTTCAGTAATATTCCATTTCACTATTTGTTCTCGTGAATGATCGTAATCTGGGAATTATGTCTACTGTATCTGCTTCTGTATTAGCTTGGGGATTTTTGCAATGGTTGTTGGAAATTTTAGGTTCCCTACTTATTGCAAGATTGATACGCCAATATTATAACTAAAGAAGTTTTTAATGGCGCGGTAGTCGCGTGTAGTAGAATTTAGAAAACGTTTCTTTTTGCAAAAAAGAACCATTTCGGTACCAACTTTGAAAATAAGATGAAACTTGAATGATCTTCGTGAGCAATATAGTATTTGCTGGCATTAACAGAGACTGAAGGTCTATAGTGGAACATGCTTCAATAATGCTGTTATTAGGTTTCATTCAAAAACTTACGAATTTTTTTGGCCCATTTTTTTTTAAATCCTTTTTCTATACTTTCTCGAAAAACATGCGACCGAGTTTAAATCTCGTGCCCGCATAAAGTTAAAGTATGTAAATGTCATAAGCCCATAGCCTTTTGAAAAAACTGTTTTTCTTTTAGACAATTTTATCTGGTAACTTTTCTAGCAAACTGTTTTGTCGCATCTTGGATGGCTCATGTCATGTAGACAATGATATCCTGTCGACATGTGGCAAAGTTTCTCAGATTGCTCAAAAAACAGACTAGATAATATGGAAATACGATGAAAAAATCTATCGACCACGCCCTCCTTATGCTCCATCCACTTACCAGAGCCAAGGTGTCAGCTAGGTTTTAAGATTTTTGGAAATAAGCAAACTTCTGAAACCAGCGCATTTTTCGGAATTTTGTTATGTTATAATGGGGTTGTCCAAAACGGACGCAGGAAAGTAAACGCATATTAAAACAAGAAAGATTGATATTCAAATCAAGTTGGGTACTTTATTTTGAAGGTTCATTTATACCATTTATGTATGAAAAATAATATCGCTCAAATGTTTACCACGACTGGATTTACAGACTTCCACGCGATGGTCGAAATGTTCAATGACATTTTGCAACATGGTCGGTTCTATGGCATTTATCTCGGCAATGATGTTGTTTTTGAGTTCTTGGAGGGTGGCTGGTTTGTTGACGTAGACTTTGCTTTTCAAATATCCCCATAAAAAGTAGTACAAATGTGTCAAATCGCACGATCTTGGTGGCCATGGCACATTTCCTCTGAGCGAAATTAGGCGATCACCGAAGAAGGACTGCAATCGATGGATATTGACGTTGGCTGTGTGGCATGTTGCACCGTCTTGTGGGAAATAAACATCGTCCATATCCATTCCTTCAAGTTGCGGCAAAAAATAGTCCTCTATCATCACGTGGTATCGCTCAGAATTGACGGTAACGGCGTCCCGGCAGCATTTTCGAAAAAGTAAGGTCTGACGCAGCTCTTGCGTCAATTGGATCTTGTAGGCGTGTACATTCAAATCCTTGTGGAGAATGCGGAGCAAACTGGTTCTCGAAATGCCCAATTCTTGGGATCGACGCGTTGTTGATTGTTTCGGATCGTCTCTCACACTCTCCTTCACAACAGCAATATTTTCCGGTGTGCGAACGCTCCTTGGCCGGCCAGAGCCTGGCAGATTTGCCCCAGAACCTGTTGCCTCGAATTTACGCACCAGACGACCGATGGTTGTTTCGTTTGGGCGGTTGTTGCGACCGAAATGTTCACGAAGCGCGCGAAACGTGTTTTTTATTTTTGCACCATTTTTGTAGTGCTCTTGAATAACTTTAATGCGGTCTTCAATCGAATACGACTGCATAGCGATCAATGGTAAACATTCAGCTAACCAAATGACATATCGGTGACAGAAAACAAAGATGGCGTCTATGTCAAATTGACGTTTACTTTCCTGCGTCCCTATTGGACAAATATAGTTACATTGACAACTTATGAGTTGTGACAATTCCTTATAGATGACGCTACGGCATCTCACTTTATCTCAGATACCCTTTTGAACGCGGCAATATGACATTAGGTTTTCTGTCTTCAGTTAGAACACTTTAATCAGTGCCAAAGCTTACCCTGTACTGCAAATCTTCTCTTACTCTCCCGATAGAAATGACTGACTGTAGTGTGTCATAGAGGTATTCCGAATAATAAGACGCTAACACAAGTGGAACAATAATCCATATCAATGTTCTTGCGGTTAAACCGGTCATACTGTAGCTTCCACCACCAGCAACTATCTGTATGATGATCACTTTCTTCACATTACATTCGAGAGGCTTAACTTGCGTTGACATACAGCTTAGGTAAACATTTTTATCAAGAATAATGTAAATAGCATTACCAGCAAAACAATTAGCTTAAGATAATTTATCAAGTAGATCGACTTGGTACTTTGCACATATTCTACTTACATAAATGGAGATAATTGTCCAAGTCAGGTAAGTCTTTGATAATAATATTTGAAGCACGTACTTTTGTGAAATTCGTCCCCAATAGTACGATTCAAAAATTTTTAGCAAAACGCTTTCCATTTTATAACTAAGTTGAATAAATTCATCTGGTCTAGTGGCTAAGCAAATAAGGGATAATGATAGGAAACATATAAACATCTTTAATCAACTGTATAGTCTACGAATTCCTGACAGAAATATTCGCTGTGTTGCCTGACTGTGCTTTTAACGCATTATGGAGCTAGTAGAGTCACTCTGGCTAGTATTTGTCTGATGAGGGGATTTTACGCGCATGCGTGGCAGCACAATTTCTAGTACAGGTACCACCAACCTAACCGAGCTGTCAACGCGTTCACTTTAACTAGAAGCCAGCGATAGGCACAACGGTACAGTATCAGACTATGTTTTCAGAGCTGTTAGCTGTGTTAGGTTGTACATTGTTCACCGTTCAAGTGCTTCATTACACTATGAAGAATCAAACAAGTTCTGTATGTGTTTTGAGCCCGAACAGGGGTCTTAAAAATAACTCCAGCAAATAAGCTATTTTACACAAAGGTAACTGATGTATTAATGATAGAAAACCTCAAATTCTTTCAAAGACAGAGGGAAAATCAACAAAGTTGATATTTTGACGGTTTTGAGTAGTTCATGGGGGCCCACACCTGTTAAATGGAAAAAATTAATATTTCACGTTCTTCTACCTTTTGGTTATTTGGGGCAGAAATATAGCTTGTTTGGAAGCTCTGAAATCGGACGTGGCTTTGGTGGTTGCATATATCGCTTCGACTTTCTAGCATTCGATCAATTTGGCGGGAAAAAAGTTTGCAAAACAATTCATGAGAAGCGTGTACATACAAATATACTTGTAGATGTAATGTGTCGGAAATACGGAGGCAACCTACTTCGAACCACTATTTTTGATTCAGTTCGATATAATTGAAAAAAAGTGGACATTACGTCGTTTTGCAAAGTTCCAACTAAATTAATGGCGTCATAAAAACTCATAGTAATTTTCCGTCTTGTGTGCGACTGTGTCTAAGTAAGCTAACAGGTTATTAAAGTATAACACAAATAGTTTTTGTGGAAATATTTGTATTTAATATTGACACAAGTCCTTTCGAATATCGATATGAATACATGGTGAGCATCTTAATATGCATTAGAGTCTTGCTGGTATCTTGTGCCTCATGCAGTCCACAAATTACACACAAGGTTCAAAATAAATGCAACAAGCAAAATGTTGGTCACATTTATATATATATATATATATATATATATATATATACACGAGTATATATATATATATATGAACTCTTGACGGTTGGACTGTACAGGGTAAATCAAAATGATGTTTCATTACCCTAGCTTTCAGTCACTTTGTAGTGTGCCTCCAGTTGCCAATCAGGGCGCAATCCTTTCCATTATTGAAAACCACATCTCCTCTATAATTTGTTTTTTTACTCACGTCAATATGTACAGTGGTTGAAGTATTAGACGCAATATTACATTTTTCCACCAATTTTCGTTCTTCCTTTATTTTTTAATTGCCGTACGGACTCAAAAAATTGTCCACCAAATTGTACAGAAATCCATTGTCTAACTGTATTAGGTTCACACTTTATTATATCGTCATTTATTCAGTTTATCTACAGTGACGGTGAAAATGGGAACTTTTGACTTGATTTAAGAACATGCTGTATAACAGTTTCACGCTCTACCATTCTGAAATTCGGTATTATGTTTAAAAAAATGCAACCACAACATGGCAATGACCGTTGTCCTGTGACCTTCATGAGGTGCTTTTCATCCCATAATGGCAATGCGAGTGTTCGCCAATGTTCAGCTCCGTTACTGACTCTATTTTAGGTACAAGCCTACATGCCAGGTCACTCTGACTGCAATGAGGAGCATAAAGAAACTTTGTTTATCCGATTTTCGGACTGCCTGAGACTAGTAGATCTGGAAACAGCCTCCTCATGTAGATTGTTCCACAATCTCGGTACCCTAGAGACAAAAGAGCGGTCGTATCGTCCAGTTCTGGATGTACAAAGTTTGTCACAATTAGAATGGAAAGCCGAAGTCAGACGGGTCTGTCTGGCAGGCACATCACGATGCGGCATCATGGATGAGAGCTATGAGGAGCAAAGCCCTCGACGTGGCAGTAGAAGAGAGCTAGATCGCCGACGGGCCGCAGGTGCTAAAGGCCCCGAGACCGGCAGAGAAGAACCATCGATCAGTCGAGCAGCCCTGCTCTGAACTGCGTCGAGCATGGATAATGTAATCGGGAAAGCAGCACCCCAAACATTTGAGTAGTACTCAAGGCTAGGTCTGGGCCTCGAACAGTTTGAGGACGTCATTTTCAGAGTCTTGCCACCCTCTTGATTCATATTAAGCGGCATCCAGAAAACGTTATTCTGAAAGGCAAATCATGTAGCAAAATTTCTTCCACCAATGTGATGCTTTCAGCTGGTCTACGTAGTAACACAGAAGGTCGTCGATTTAAATCCGTTTCACCCTCACTGGTAACGCGTTTTTCTTCCTGTGGCTTCTAACTTAAGTCCGGGAATAGTCTGTAATGAGAAAAAACATGATCTTTAAAAAATGTTTTGGGACCCCTACTGGTGCAGCCGATATCTGTACCCCGAGGCTACCCAGCGCTTTTTTAACTAAGCGCCTTACGCGTTCGTTTTTGAATTATGCTTTCCCGTTATCTGTCGGGCTTACGACGCCCTATAGGATCGATACTGTCGTCTGATAACTTGGCCCATTTATTTTTCAGGAGTTTCTCTTCTGGGGATTCGTATACAATCTTTCTGATTTCAGGTTACAACAAATTCATGTGTGATATGCCCAAACAGTCGGTATGATGGGAGAAACGACAAATCTTTTTTCAGGAGGAGGTATACAGGATGTCCCATGATACCTCATGATTGTGTATTTCTGAATTATACTAAGTGACATATAAATCCGAACACCCAGTTTAAATGGTTTTATTTTAATAAAAGTTGGTGAATGTATTTATCTTACTCTAAATAACAAGTGAAAAAATTTTCAGCCTTATCAGTTGGACATTCCGGTTTTTATACTGCTTTTTTTTAATGCACTAACGCTCTAAAAATGAATATTTCAACCGCAGTAAAGAATCAACGTTGACGGATTTTGGTTCTTGACATTCTTTACGATCGGTAACGATGCCTAGAGTACGGAGACCTGTACGATTTCGTCAACTTAGTGAGTTTGATAGGGGCCGTATAGTGGGACTTCGGGAAGCTGGACTTTCTTTTCGGGCAATTGCAGTTAGAGTGCAAAGAAGTGTAGACACTGTGGTTAGGTGTTGTCAGGCATGGCTTCGAGAAGGCCGTACGCAAAGAGCAAGGGGCACTGGACGCCGCCGTAGAACAACAGACCGTGAAGATCGCCGCCTAAAATTATTGGCGTTAAGGAACCGTTTCTCCACTACCAGGTCCATTGCAAATGAATGGTTTGCAGAACACGGAAGACCTATTGGCATGCGAAGTGTTTACCGACGAATGAGAAGTTTTGGCTTGTTTTCATACCGGCCACACTAGGTCCTCCCTTTAACTCGAGAACACCGACGTAATCGCCTTGAGTGGTGCAGACAACGGTCACTCTGGGATCAGGAATGGAACAGTATTGTCTTTGGTGACGAGTCTCGATTTTGTTTAGGCATGCACGATGGTCGTGCCAGGGTTAGAAGGCGACGTGGTGAAAGGAGGAATCCACAGTTTTTTGTTGAAAGACATGTTCATCACACTGTTGGAGTTATGGTTTGGGGTGCTATAGCTTATGGTTGCAGGTCACCTTTAATCTTCATCAGAGGTAACATGAACGCGCAGCGTTATATCCACGAAGTTCTAGAACCCCATCTGTTACCCTATCTTGACACCCTGGCAGATTCAACTTTCCAACGAGATAATGCCCGACCATATGTTGCAAGAGTCACAATAGACTTCTTTCAACATAATGATGTCACATTGTTTCCATGGCCACCAAGATCTCCCGACTTATCCCCAATTGAGCACGTGATGGATGGAGATTGCTCAATTTGCAACGTCCTCCTCAGACTCTAGAAGCACTTCGAGAGGAGTTGGTGGTTGCCTGGAATGAGATACCACAGGAGGACATTGACCACCTGATCAGAAGCATGCCTAGGCGCGTTGGAAAATGCGTAGCACATCAGGGTGCATCCACACATTATTAAAGGTCAAAGGGCTTTAACACGTTAACGGCCACGTCGGTCCCAGGGGCCCGCCAGCTTCCCTTACCATCAGGCCACGGCGGTCCCTCGGGACCACCTGTCGGTGACTGCTATTTCGTGCTGTTCAGGCCACCGGACCGCTCATTTAATACATTTAGCGGCTCATATGGGACCGCTTGGCCCCAGTTGATGATGCATACATAATAATTTTTTTATATATTTTTGTTTAATCAAGTTTCACATGTATTTTTTATTATATCATTTTTTGATAAATAAAAGTACTAAAGTGAAGCGTAATACTTTATTTTTCACACTTTTCAGAACAATAAATGCGTATAAAATATTTTAGAGACAGTAAACATAGAAAAACATAATTATTGCTTATGAAATATGTTAAAACATTCTAAGCAAAAATGAGGTTGATCAACACAGTCACTGCAATAAGTGCTAACTTTTTTTACATTGTTTTTGGCTATTTCACCTTTGGTTTTTTTATTATAACAGCCGACACAATATTTTCGAACTTTGTGTACAGCTCCCTCTTTTTTCCTAAAACAATGTTCTGAATTCCGTTTCCTCTTATTAGTCGAACAATTAGATGCTG